TTAACAAACGCAAGATGATATCTCCCTGCCATATCCCCAGCGGTTGTCCCAGAACCCGGCGCATAAGTAGCCCCCAGGCCCTTGTGCACGGAACGACGGCCCGGTAATGACGTAATCAGGAACCATATTTGAAAAAGGCGATCTTGCCATTGGAGGAATCGTAGGCGAGGCGAGGTGCACGGCATCCCGGATTCCCTCGATGGAATTCCCGGATATGATAAGCGCCAAACGGGAGCCCGCGTGGGGCGCCAGGAAAACTGCGCCGGTCTGGGGTGAGGAGAAGTTGCAGTGACCTATGACATGGAAAATAGCGATGATCAATTGCTGTTTGCAGAGATAAATCTCATTTGCTTCCATAGATGAATCGGAAAGTACATGACAATTCAAGTGAAAGCTATAAAGCAGTTCATTTCTGTGGTCTAACTTTAGAGTCTGTGGATAAAATCTTACGGTGTGACCATTCAAATGAAGGCCAACAGGCAGTTCTTTCCTGTGGTACTGTTTATTATGCTGTAAAAGGTGGTTCTAACTTTTGAGTCTGTGGATGGAATCCTATGGTGTGACCATTCAGATGAAAGCTACTGAGCAGTACTTTCCTGTGATACTGTTTATTATGTTGTAGAAGGTGGTTTTAACTTTTGAGTCTGTGGATGAAATTCTATGGTGAGACCATTCAAATGAAAGATACTGAGCAGTACTTTTCTGTGGCACTGTTTACTATGCTGTACAAGGTGGTTCTAACTTTTGAAGTACTTATCTCATTGTCAGGGTTGCTTCTTCTTTGAGCCAATGAATGAGTTTCTTAAGTGCGTTCATTAAAATGATAGCTACTGAGCAATGCTTTAACCTTCAAAGATTACTATTCTGAAAATTTAGTACATAACAGTGCTTTCTTATGCTACTACTGAAAGTTGTACAAAATTGGAACTACTTGAAATCAAGTTTGACCATTTGAATTAACAGAATGAAAGCTACTGACTGAAATTTACCTATGGCGCTATTTCTCCAAATGAAATTTGATATCAACTTAAACTTTTGACATTGGCTGTTGAGAATAAGTATTTGCCTGCAAACGCAGACGTATTTGCGGTGGAGAGAAGCGACGACCAGAAATACGTCTGCGTTCGTAGGCTAAACAACTACAAACACGGCGGTGGACTGCAACAACAAAATAAAACGTTCTATTTTGTGGCACGCGGTCTGGAAACGAAACACTGCATTCTGGAGAAATCTTCATTTTCCCAACGGCTTTTTTGTTTTTAGTTAACACCCTTCAGTGTCAGATCCAGACCTTGAGATAAGCGGGGGAGGGGAGGGGAGGGGAGCGGTCATCCAGACTCTTAGATAAGGGGGAGGGGGAGGTCTCCAAAAAAAAGAAGGAAAACATACCCAATGTCATTGTCTTGTCCTGATACTTCAGTGGAACCTTTCCATGGTAACGTTCAACCCAAGTGTTTTCCAGAGGGCTGCCCAAAAGAATCAAGTTATAGCGATCAGCGGTCTCTACATCTAATTCTGTGTCACGGACAACTGGAGCCCACGCATCGGAAGTTAAAAGGAAGAGATTGGCGATATACACTGCAAACCGCCTCAAGGCAACTTTTATGCGATGATTTTGTGATAAGGTACCTGAAAAAACGATTGGATGTTCTGTTTAAATACAAAAGATTAATACGTTACCAAAAAGAGTTAGTTAGCCTGCGAAGGGAGACGTTTCTCCTCGAGTACTCGCTCCTCGCCCATAAGTAACACAAAACTTTACGTATACCATAACCGACCAGGAGAACCTAAAATCGAGCAAATTTACATTTGCAAGAGAATCCCATGTCTATCGGATCAGTTATGTAAACATTGATTTACGTCATCAGTATGGAATTTCTGTCGCTGCGTCGCAGACGTCTTTGCTGCGAAGAAGAGCGAGAAAAGACGGCTGTATTCGCAGGCTAAGAATTTGTAAGCTTAATCGTAATTTATCTTTATACGTTTTGTTTAAGAACTACGTCTTACGATCGTCTTAAGCCGACACCGAAGAGTTCTTGTGAGAGCTCGGTTACTTGCACCCTTTTTAAGCATCGCAGACCGCGATCCGTTTGGCCAGCGCCACCCGCAAAAGGATCGCGGCTCTGGAGACGATAATGCTTTGCGGACTTCCTTAAGTAATCGAAAATGTCACGTGATCTCAGATGAATCACCTGACAAAACATCGGGTAGAGCTAGTGCAAGAAACGTTGTTCTCGGGTTTGTGTGGGGATTTCAGCGATCGTTATTTAGGAGTCAAAAATAGCAAACAATAAACATCAAAACTTCTCGAAGTCAGTCTCCGACATTAGCAGAAATAACTCTTGCTTACAGAAAAAAGATGTTACCTGACCCTATTAAATTCATATTTTTTTTTTAGTAGAAACAATTCTTGCTTAAGAGAGAGAAGTGACGACCGGAAATGCTACGTTCGCAGGCTAAGATTCGCCATTTGCACATCTCCCATAATGCACCTTATTTATCCCCACTCTTTTCTCTTGGGGCCACTGAAATACCCAGGAGAAATTAAAAACAGAGATTATGCAAACTTTTGAGGTGCCAAAAAAGTGTATTATGGGAGATGTAAAAATGGCGAATGAATTTTAAAACAGCGCGAATGAGTCACTTCCGTGACGTTTTCACTGATGACGCTTTGGTGGTTAAGTTTTAGACCGTTTTATGTACTAACCACAACTTCATTCATAAATGCATCCGAATCACAATCGCTACAATCAGCTTTCGTTTCTTTATTTTGGTTTCCCGTGTGGAACGGGAAGCGACATATATCAGGTACCTGCAGAAGGTCAACAAAAGGTCCAGATAAGTTCACCGAAAGTGAAAGTTATTTTTGAAAACATTTCCTGTCTGTTATTTCCTTTCGAGGAAGTACCTGTGACATTTATCTACACTGTACATTCATTTTCGTCAAAAACGAAAGAGTATTAAGCCCTTGCTTTGACACAACATGAATAACTCACCAATAACTTTTTACAACAAAAGAAATAACACAACGCGACAATAAACAGTCACGCCTGATGGCTGTATTACCACTTAATAAATTTTATCATGAATACCGTTTTTTAAGAAAGGGTGAAAGGATAGGGGAGATTTTGATCAAGCGTGTAAGGATATGCAGTCAAACCTCGTTAACACGGACACAAAGGGGTCATTTAGAGAAAATGTAAATGCTTTCTTTCCCCAGGGACAAAGAAAACTGTTCGTAATAACGAGGTGTCGGTATTAAGCGGGTGTCCATAAAGCGGAGTTTGACTGCTTTGATAACAAGTTACCTTTCCTTCTCCTAAGTCTTCCCATGCTACGGATAAGCGGTACAAATGTTTAATAAATAGCTTCAGGAAATAAAATGGTATTATAAAACTGAATATAGTTGGTAAAAAATCACTTGACTTACTTGACTTACTTGACTTACTTGACTGGAAGTCAAGGCTTATAAACTAGTTGTAGCTTTGGCTAAGTATCTACAAAAAAACGAATTTGCCTACATCACCGGTTTTAGTTCCAGTCTTTATAAAACCATTTCAGCTGCTGAGGCGAGAATTTCCACTACAAGCACTCCTCATTCCTACACTTCTTCCATGCTCTTGGCCTTAAAATCGCTCTTATTCCTCCGCTTAGACATTTTTGAACCTTAAACTTGTCGGGTTTCAAACAGCGAAAGGGAGATAAAATCTACACCTTACATTTTAAATACACTTACATTACACTTTTCACAGCACGATCGAGAATTTTTCTGCCTGCTGCAATACTTTGCGTGGCATTAAGCTGGCCGCCTCGCAAGCCGACCGTCTTCGCTAAGTTTGCTCGTTGGCAATTAGGTGAAGTTATATAGTCAGCTTGATAGTTTCATAACATGACAAAGCAAAATGATGATGATGATGATGATGATGATGATGGTGATGATGACGACGACGAAGACCATGACACGATGATGACTTCCGCACAGGCCACGTTCAGACCTATTCGGGAATGCACTCAACCGGATGATCGTATACAAAACATTTATTTAACTTACTTATGAAATTAATCCTGGGTTCACTCCATTAACAAAAAGTTCTTTGTTGTCTGATTTCTAAGAAATGTGCTCATCAAAACAAACGAAACGAACCAGTGGGCGTCTAGGAAACTAATTTGGGAAAAACCCCTTCAAAACAAAGCAAGCCGGCACTGTCGCATTTAGTGGAACTACGACATTGTTTTAATGTGAGAGGCAAGATCGACAATGAATTGCTATCGTCGATTATCCGAAAATGAAAGCCCATCTACAGTCTTAAATATACAGGTCGATGATCCCGATACAACAGAACCAAGAGAGAATGATCAGGGCGCTGCTACATTGCTGCACTCGCTGCTACATTGCTGCACTCGCTCATACTTCTTTTTCGCTGGGCAGTGGTTTTGGCCTGCAGAAAATTTCATCAAAAGTAAAAACCTGCCAAGAAAAGTATGTAGAATCGCATACGCCATTTGGCAGGTGATAGTTGTGCTCATAATGTGGTGCTATTTCCTGTACTCGATGGGATTTTTCACACTGCGAACCATTGAGGAAGTCGATTGGCTATGCCCGCTAACCGACATCAAGAACATGGCCCACGGTTTATGTTGGATAGTAAATCAGCACACGGGACTCGTATTTTTCTCGTTCGGCAACTTTGAAAGTCTTCTGGAGCAGCTGAGCATCACCAAGAAAGAGGTAAGTTTCCCGGAACGGGGAACTGGGGGAAGGAAGGAAACAGGCAAGAAGAAGGAGAGGATTGCCCGGGGTGATGATGGTGATGTGAATTATGCTTTACAAATTATTTTAACCACTTTAAGTGAAATTGTAATGAGTAACCGTCCAGGCTAAGGCTACTGAGCACGAAATTTGTAGTACTGCTATTGAATATGCTGCACATGGAAATCTAACGGTATTCAAGCAGTCGGGGAACCCTATAGTGTAACCACGGGCGTCCCAAGCTCACGTTACGAGCGTGTTATGTAAATTAACTTTCATACGAGAGAGTCGGTGTCGCGTTACAAGAGAAAATTCAGGGTCTTTTCTGAGGGCCGAGTTGTTCAAAGCTGGGTTAAGATAAGGGTTAGTGCAAGATTTGAATTCAGTTTGAAAGCTTAAAAAGCATTTCAGTATTAATTCTTTTTGTCTACAAGTTGATGATTAGAAGCTCTAAAAATAACAGAGAAAATTATCCGAGAAAATGCTTTAGAACACAAGAACAAGAAACCCGGGTTAAATTTAACCCCGGGTTAAGCGCTAACCGGCCTTCGAACAACTGGGCCTTGAGGTCTGCGAACGCTAAGTATCAAAATTTTTACTTTTTTTCCATGAAATATATAAAGAAGACTTACCTTTTATGTGCTACTGTGTTTTTGGTATGAAATCATCGATTTGTCGGTTTCTTTGGCTGTTATTGTTTGACCCCATCTTATTATGAAGTTAGTGACAGGGGTCAAACATTGGCTGTGGTCATAGGCGTACGGGCGGGGGGGGGGCGAGGGGGGCTGCAGCCCCCCCCCAAATTTTGGGCAACTCAGATTTTTTGGACAGCAAGAGAAAATTTGGGCAAAGCCAGGTTTTGAAGACGTTTCCATGTTTTTTTATTATTATTATTATTTTGAAGAGATAAATATTTTATATTTTAATCTGACAAAAATCCTGACGTGGGCGTAATAATCCGGTTACATTCTCTCGAGACATTGGTTGCCTAGCACGTGATGAGTTTCTGGTTATTAGGAAAGGGTATCATGCGTTGACTTACATATTTATAGTTTTTTACTGTGTTTAGTTAAGGTAAAAAAAACCACTGCAGAAACCGTGTACGATCAATCTTGCTCAACGTCGGATCCACAAAGATCGTGATCAGTCAAAATAGATCAAATTGAAAACGTTACAGTCAAGAGGACTTTTGCGGGGACTGATCAAACAACGTGAAATAGAGTTAAATTGCGATATTTCGACTGGCCAATACCAGTCTTCATCAGGTTTATATCAGGTTTTTTACTGTTGAGCACTGTACTGCACTGCACTAACTGGAATGGGCTCTTTCCAGACGTGAATAGATTAGAATAAACTTCCGCCTAACTTTCTAGAATCATCTCCCGCTCGTAGAATAGTGTATGGCAGATAGCATCAGCAATTGATCTGAAAATAAAGAAGTGGCTGACTAGTTCTCCGTTCGATAACGGCCAAACATCAAGATTTTCCTTTTTTACCATATTTCTATTTTTAACTTCACGAACATCGAGGCGACTGTTTGAGGAAAAAGCTTCCGTGAACGATTCTGTAAGAACAGTTCCCTGTGCCGAGAAATATTACTGCAAGTAATATAGGCAATGGCGTCATTTCGTTGCTATGACAACTCCGATGTCATTGCATTCCTGATTATGACAAATTTTTATCTTTATCTAATAAAACTGTGGTGGCAATTTTTCCAAATGTTTGTCTATGGCGACGTAGTTATGCTCAGAATTGGAAGGTATTGACCCTGAAAAACTGTTACAGTATCGAGCTACCTTCATATGCCAGTGCGGCCTATGTTGCTGCATCGTATGGCCCTCGTTTCTTTCCGACTATACGTTTCGTAAAAGTTCGGGCAACTTGCGAGAATTTTTTGGGCAAATGGTTTACCGCCCCCCGCACAGGGTCCAGAGGAGATGTGTTTGTCGTTAGAACATCAAAACCCGTCGAAAACCTCTGAAAAAATGGGTTATTTTGATCGCGTTACAGTTTCGTTACACATTCTATTTGACTTTCAAAATGGCAAACAACAAAGTCGACCTGGGTCAGATAAGAAGCGAAGAAATTGTTTACAGTAAATTCATTAAGATCTCATTGGGCTAATTAATCGTGCTAAGCTACAGTTATAGACATTTTTCAAAGGTGAGACTTTAAATAAGTAATTCATTTATTCACACGAAACTCCTCTGGACCCTGTGCCCCCGTGGCAAAAAATTTCCCGTACGCCTATGGCTGTGGTCACACTACAAACTTTTTACCTAGGTAAACTCGACTTGTTGACAGTTTACCTAGGAAAACTTGATTTTTTAAGTGTGGCCGATTTTTCCCTAAGTAACTTACGTCGGGAAATTTTATCGGCTGAGTCTTGGATATGTCTCGAGATCAATAGACGTTCCCTTGACAGCTACCCCAAAGCGATAGCCAATAGACGCTCATTGGCGAAGGCCTTGATGACAGAACCGGACATAGCTCACGCTGTGAAAGAAATTTTGGGGGCACGAGTCGTCTACGTTTTCGCCTGTTTTCACCTTGCACGTTGAATTAGCGTAAGAAATAACGGCGAGATAAAAGAAAAAAAAGTCTCTTTGATCGGCTAGATCCGTGCGCATCTTGCCTTCTTGAATTTGCATTCCAAAAAATTCAACTGTCCGTGAAAACCTTGGGAGCCGATATCAGTAGTGTGACCTTCCCAGAATTTTTTACCCGGGTAAAACAAAACCCGAGATGAATTTATGAATTTGCCCTAGGTAAATCGGTTTTGCCTAGGTAAAAGTCCGTAGTGTGACCACAGCTAATAACAGCCAAAAAAACCCGATTAAATCGATAAATTCACACCAAAAACACGGTAGTCCATAAAAGGCAAGTCTCCTTTATTTATGTTATAGAAAAAAAGTAAAGGAGGAGTTCAGGAGGCGTGGCAGGAATTTCACGCCTTAAACCATTCATTAATTAAGAAACTCCGCTGGTGATGAAAAACATGCCAGACACATTTAGCATCGATCACGCGTGTTTAGAAATATCTCCTTTCGAAACAGTGATTTTATAATGTTTCCATTCCTCGAAATAAAATCGGCAAACATACACAAGAAAGCACTACGTACTCAAAATACCAAAAATCCTTCGTGCGTTTGCGCAAGATGTGCCTTATCGTTATGAAAGCGTACGTTTCATGGAAACGTCGACTTGTCAACGACTTGTCAATGACGGCAACTTAAACGAAACCCGTTGTCAACGCAAATTAACATCTATTGTCTAATGACCAATCAAACGCCTGCGTTGCTGGTACAACGCGCTCCGTGAACGCGAGCTGCAGTGATGTTATTACAGTCCCTCTATTTTATTATTCCCTTCCCCCCCCGCCCCCAGCCATAATCCCCAACGCCCGCCCCCTCGGTACATTTTAAAATCAAGATAGCCGTTACGGTAAGAAGACGCGGTATATCTAAACGATCTCACGAAAAAATAGGGGACTGTGAACAGTCTAATAACACGCTCGTAACGTGAGCTTGGGACGCCTGTGGTGTAACCATTCAAATGAAAGCTACTGAGCAGTACTCTCGTGTGGTACTGGTTCTAACTTATGAGTCTGTGGATGAAATCCTTTAGTGTGACCCCGAAGCGGGGGGGTACTCCCTTACAAGGGCTCAATGGGGACGTGCGGCCAGCCGAGGTATGTTTTTCGGGATTTTTGTCTTAAACAGGGTATCTTTTCTTGGACGATAAACAGCCTGCGCGTATGTTCTACGAACTGGAAACTACAGCAAATTTTTTTTTTTTGGTTTCGGGTTAAATGTCTTAAACAGGGTATCAAAAATCGGAATTCTGTCTTAAACAGGTCGGGGTAGGAAAATCAGCGATTTTTGTCTGGGTCAGAGTATGAGGGGCCGGGCTGCACCTCCCAACCCAAGGATATATCGAGTACCCCTCCCCCCCCCCCTCCCCCGGGAGTGTGACCATTCAAATTAAAGCTACTGAGCAATACTTTCGTGTGGTACTGTTTATTATGCTGTACAAGGCGGTTCTAACTTATGAGTCTTTGGATGAAATCCTAAAGTGTGACCATTCAAATCATGAAAGCTACTGAGCATTGCTTTCATGTGGTACTGTTTATTATGCTGTACAAGGTGGTTCTAACTTTTGAGTCTGTGGATGAAATCCGAAAGTGAAAGCTACTGAGTAGTACTTTCCTGTGGTACTGTGTATTATGCTGTACAAGGTGGTTCTAATTTTGAAATCCTATGATGTGACCATTCAAATGAAAGCTACTAGGCGGGTACTTTCCTGTGGTACTGTTTATTACCCTGTACAAAGATGGCCTAGCTTCGTGTCTGTGGACGTAATCCTCAGCGCGACCATTCAAATAAAAGCTACTGAGTAGGACAGGGGCAGGCAGAGGGTTCTGGCCTTTCAAAGAACTCATCCACTATTGAAACATTCCTGTACTGCTGACGTTTTGAAATACGGAATTAAACGCAAGACGTTTTCTATACTTAACGTCAGTCTTTCTAAATCGTTTCTGCAATCTTTAGGTGAAGAGAAGAGCTTCGTCCCACTCGATCTCCTTTTTCTTGGCAAATTCTGTGGCTTGGCTATTTGTCGTTCCAATAACTTTGCATGTCACGCAAATGTTAATGCCAGATTTTTTGTCAGTGCCAAGATACACAGATGGAAAGATCACAGGCACCAATAATTACACCTTCCCGACCACACAGGTGGCCCTCGATGTTATCTTTTACGCAGCCAGTCGCGGTTTCTCGCTGCCCATTTTCTACGCGTTTCTTTACATGATGTTGTTCCTGTGTTGCGAAGTGGACAAATTCAAAGACGAGCTTGGAGAGCGTCGCTATCCAAGCAACGTTAAAGCCAAGGGAAAAGCCATAAAAATAAAAAAGCTGATCAAGGAGACAGAGAAGGCTTTCCGTTTTTTCCTCTCGTTGTACATAGCCATGATTTTAGTGGCTTCAGCACTGGAAATTTTCTCCATCGTGGAAAAAGCAGAAACCGTGATTATAGCAAACCACACCGTTTATGAAATACCCGCAAGCGCTGCAGCAGCCAGCGTGCAAAATTGGATGGCTTTTCCGCACAGGTAGGACTTTCATTGTAAATCTCATTACGATTCCTAAGGCTGTGTTCACACTATGCTGGATAGCTTTTCGCGGCACCACGGAAAGCTATCCGGTAAAGTATAAACACCAACGACCCGGGGCGGCACAAGGCGTTCACACACGTCAAACATCGTGCCGGCGCGGTTGATCGGGAGGGTTTGGTGCACTAAATTGCAGTCCTCACTCCTGAATATTTACTTCCGTCTCAGTGGGTTCCAGTCGCTGCTCCTACTTAAACTTCCGCGACGGTCCGAATCGCTGCACCAAAGTGTGGCACAAAACCGATCCGACACGTGACGCTCAATGCACATTCGAGATCGGCGCGGCGCACCCTCGCTCTGTCACAGAAATAGCGTCGCTAAAACCGTTCTTATGTGTAACAGAAGCCCTTTTCGTTATGATTTTCATGGCGGCGTAAAAGCTTTCCGGTATAATGTGAACACAGCCTAATTTATAGTTCTGACAGCACTTTGTTTTGTTCATAATTATGTTTGTTTGCAAAATCATAAAAATTTTCAAGATCTTTCTAATCTTATGTGGTGTGCGTCAAAATTCGGTTAAAAAAATAGTTCCATTCAATTATTAGCTGATATTATTCAATTCTAAACCTCGAATAATGCATTTCTAGCTTGCTTATTCATTATTCACTGTATCTCAGCCATTATGTCTGCGATGGACCTTCTATGGAAAATAAATAAATACTGAAATAAAATCTTATAATACTTCAAAAGATACAAATACATATCTTTAGTTACAAGTAGATTTAAATTAAGAAAATTTACACGCTGATAGCCTGAATCTTGCACAACAAAAGACGACCGTGAGTAAAATTTAACAAGATACAACAACAACAACAACAACTTTATTTGTACTCCACATTGAATTATATACATATATATAAATATATATACAGTACCACAAGTGAAGAGTAAAACAATATGTTTTTCGTCTCTCACCTATATTTCGGCCGTGTTAAACGGCCTTCATCAGGGTGAATGGCGATTACAAGCATAACACACCATTATAACATGATAACGAACAAATTTGAAAACTTGCACGCGCTACAAAGAAAGATAAACACGCGCGCGCTCTTACCGGACGCGAGATCTAGTCGACCTATTCTGGCTGTAAAAAAAGTCACTTATATTCAAGCCCTGAGGCTGAATACAGTTCAACCTATAGGCCCACTGGCCTTCTTTATCCCGGAGAGCTGATTCTTCCCCGGACACTCTGTCAATTAACTGTATACTGACATCCTCAAGACCATGGTGTCCCGGGCCAAAAAAATGTCTATACAAAAGATCATTCTTGTTTCTACCCTCAAAAGAAAGCCTTGAATGCGCTCTAAAACGGGCCTTATGATTGTTAAACCTAAGCCTAAATTTTGTTGTTGTTGACCCAACGTACTGCGCATGACAAACCTTACAGGACAGCAAGTAGACAACATTACTACTATTACAATCCAGTTCGTAGTTAATTGTATAGCTCTTTCCAGTTCTGTAAGAGGTAAACCTTTCTCCCGGTTCTGTTTAGCGTGTACTATATATATATATATATATATACTAATAAAAATAGAGAGAGTACAGGCTGCCCATAATAACCATTGAGGGCTAAGGAGATTGGGCAGCCTTATTTAAGTTATTAAAATATATATATGCTGGTGAAGAAGCTGTGAATTTGTCGTTTACACTGTGTAATTTCTTTGTTAACACTTTTAACGTTATTGCCCAATATTAACAAAATGAACTCGACAGCCGTGACACAGCCCCTTTAAACTTTCTTCGATCTTTCACCGATTAATTGCCAATAGCACGGGCTAATCGTGACGATGGGTGGTATAATTAGGCAGTGGTTGATGACAGATAGGTGTCGGCTGTGGACTTAAAAACGAGCAAAGAGCAGTAGTTGGAAGACTGTTCCACACATGTATACACCGGGCAAAAAAGAGTACGTGTAGGCATCAACAAAAGCGGGTAAAAGGTTGTATGTCGTTCTATGGGACTCCCTGGTACAATCCCATGCATCCTGTCTGCATTTTTTCCATGGGAATATTAACAATGGAAATGAGAGGTGCTATGATAAAGTTCCCAAAGATTTAAAATAATTAACAAAAAATTTAAGTGAGGGATGCTTAGTTCCCCAGAATTAAAGCTCATATTAGTACTAATAAGCTAACCTGTGAACTCCTATCCACAGGTTAACCAGAAAACGCGCAAATTACCTCGTGATAATTCCCACCTCAAATCACACCGTGGGAATGTTTGGACGTGAAGGAAAAATTCAAAAGATTCTTGTTGATCAGTACAAGATTACGACGCAAGAGATCGTGGTGACAGCTGTGCTGGACATAACAGAAAACGTGGTACTGTACGCCTTTCCACTCTACCAGATGTCTGTTCTCAAAAGTTGTTTGAAAGGAGTCCTGGAGATGGTGGAAGACAGCGAAGCACAGGACACCCAATCAGACGGAACTACATCTGGCGATAATGCAGCACAGGGAATCAACTTAGATGAAACTACTTCTGGCGATTATGGAGCACAAGGGACCCACTCAAAACACACGGCTTCTTGGGAGGAAACGCCTAAGGTGATATTTAGAACAAGACAAGAGCAGAACTACTTCACGGATTGGTTCCGCCGTCACTGCATTTCTGGTATTAAAGTTCTTGGCAAAGAAGTGAGTTTTCTCTGGACCTTAGTGTTGACCTTCTTTGGTCCCTTTGTAGTGGTGGTGGTAAATTTGATGTTCAAGCACATTCACGTCGAATCTCCTTGGCATTAACAAGGAAATCGATAAAGAAGACAAAAACGCTGGACAAACTTGTTTACTATCACCTACTCGATGTAGTTTTTCCCAACTGATCATAGGTTAAACGATTGCCGGTCATTTCGCTACGCAGTTCAGTCAGGAGCGGATCGGCTCCTGGTTCAGTTCTTTCCGAATTTCGCTATACAGTTGTATTTTGAAATTGATGCACGCTGTGATGGTACTGCATCCCAGTTTGTTCCTTACACGAATACTGTGATACACAAATGACGGCATAACTTTTCAGCCCAAGTTCAGTATTTATAGAGAGTTTTCACTCATGTGACCAGCATCTATGTTAATTTATTGGAACAAAAGAAAGCGTTTTCATAAGAAAAAAGGACTCCCGGACTCCCACAGGACTGGTTTGGAACACAAACGCGTGACGTCATGTGAAAACGCTCCATAGGTTCAATTGCAAGCCGCTGTTTGGGAAATGAGCCCGCGCTCCTCACTTGAGGAGAAACAAAGAGCAACGGACATGGAACCTAAGTTTCTTATCATGCTTATAGAATGCCTAGTTAACGTTGTAGCGGAAGGATTGCACAGAAAAAGGACTTCGTAGCGAAAATACCGGACACCAGTCAAACAGATAACTAAGCATAATATTTACAATACCATTTTGCGCAATTTAGTTTCAGGTTTTCATTAGAATAACGGATGATTTAAGAAGCCGATAATGTTGTGAATAATAATAATAGCTGATAATGATGATCAAGGCATGATAATGATGTTGACAACAAATAAATATTGGATGGGGTTTTTGTGATATCCGGAATAATCAAGGTCGCGGTCAAATAAAATGTTATCAGCCGAGCCAAAAGGCCGAAGCTAATAACACTCACCGAGACCTTGATTATTCCGGATATCACAAAAACCGAGTCTAATAATTGTTTCATTACACATTGTTTTGAAGAAAATAAGGAGTTTACTGAACGATGACGACGACGGCAACGAGAACGGCAAAAAAGCAAAGGGTTTAGACAAGCATTACAAAAACTTTGCACGTGCATCACGCTTTTTTGTACATTTCTCTTCTGTCGTTGCACGACTACAACGTGAAACTGCCTAATTTACGCTTTGTCGAGGACGGGGCCAAAAGACAACAACTTTCTTTTTCTTTTCCTAACCTTTGATGTAGTTTAGAATTAAACTCCAAAAACTTTGCCAACATTTGACGAATTAAACGAGATGGAATAAGCGCGATAAAGTTTGAGGCAACGCAAATTCACTTTTTAAGTGACGTTTTCGACAAACACACCGTCGAGCGGAACATGTTTTCGGTCGTGGTTGGAAATCATGCACTGCGCGCGCAACCTGTTAACAGAAAACTAACTAATCCGTAAGTTGCGTAGTCTCAGCTGTCGCAGTAGTCGCAGCTGTTTTTAAGGTAGTCACTGGGGAGGAGCGTTGCGTGACGACCCTAAAAACGGCTGCGAAAGAGATTATAGGTCGCGCTGATTTCCAAAATTAACTGTAGGCTCTTAGCCAATCAGAAGACATTGACAAATAATGAGTATAATGTACTGTATACAGTCCATTCTCTCGTAAGTGACCACCCTTGGTGTACGACAAAGTGGAAAAATCAAGACAATAAGTCAATCCCTCCAAGACGGGCACCACTGGAACCGACATGAGTGTCCTTCTTAGAGAGATGTCGGCTTTACAGAAAGTAAGAGTACAGTACTGAAGAAAGGAGGGTAACATGCCGAGATGTCTAGACTTCCTAGAAGTTTGTCTTATAGAGAGTTTACTGTAGTAATGTTGTAAATATTTGTAAAATAATGTAAATAATCATTTACGACAAAGTTGAGCCTGCTTGTTGCAAACGAGCAGCCTCGCGAGGGGACAGCAGAATGAATCTCGAAGCGATGTAACATAAGGTAGTGTAAGGTAACTTTTATGACGTAATGCAGAACAGAGAATGCATTGTTTTCGAGCGAACACGCACGCGAAAGTTCCAAGGCAGAATGGGTCTCGAAGCGATGTAACAGAAGGTAGTGTTAGGTAACTTTTACGACGTAATGAATCCGACACCGAAGACTTCTTGTGACAGTCCGGTTGCTTGCACCCTTTTTAAGCATCGCACACCGTGATCCGTTTGGCGAATGCCACCGCAAAAGGATCGCGGTTCTGGGGACGATAATGCTTTGCGGACTTCCTCAAGTAATCGAAAATGTCACGTGATCTCAGATGAATCACCTGACAAAACATCGGGTAGAGCTAGTGCAAGAAACGTTGTTCTAGGGTTTGTGTGGGGATTTCAGCGATCGTTATTTAGGAGTCAAAAATAGCAAACAATAAACATCAAAACTTCTCGAAGTCAGTATCCGACATTAGCAGAAAAAAAAATGTTACCTGACTCTGTTAAGTTCATATATTTTTTTTTTTATAACGAAACGTTAGCAGAAACAACTCTTGCTTAAGAGAGAGAAGTGACGACCGGAAATGTTACGTTGGCAGGCTAAGATTCGCCATTTGCACATCTCCCATAATACACCTTGTTTATCCCAACTGTTTTCTCTTGGGGCCACTGAAATACCCAGGAGAAATTAAAAACAGAGATTATGCAAACTTTTGAGGTGCCAAAAAAGTGTATTATGGGAGATGTAAAAATGGCGAATGAAATTTAAAACAGCGCGAATGAGTCACTTCCGTGACGTTTTCACTGTCGACGTTGTGGTGGTTGAGTCTTAGACCGTATGATGTACCAACCACAACTTCCTTCATAAATGTATCCGAATCACAATCGCTACAATCAGTTTTCGTTTCTTCATTTCGGTTTCCCATGTGGAACGGGAAGCGACATATATCAGGTACCTGCAGAAGGTCAACAAAAGGTTGAGATCAGTTCACCGAAAGTGAAAGTTATTTTTGAAAACATTTCCTGTCTGTTATTTCCTTTCGGGGAAGTACCTTTGACAATTATCTACACTGTACATTAATTTTCGTAAATAACGAAAGAGAATTAAGCTGTTGCTCTGTCACAACATGAAAACTCATGAATACAGCCAAAGCCAACTTTACGGACAACTGCTTAATACGGACACAGCATTGTCACGGACAGTTTGTTTTGTCCCTGGGGTGTGAGAAAGCCCTTAAATTTTCTCTTATCGGGGATAGAAGCGGAATCATTTGAATCTCGATATTCACGATTCCTGTCGTTTTTGCCTCAGTGATTCATGATTCCGAAAAGAATTCAGATTTTGTCTTGGCATGGAGTTTTTTTGTCACTGAACATTAAGCACAAGGTTATTGGAGAAACAAGCGGAATGTCAGCCCCGATTACACGAATTATATAGGGGGGTCCAAGGGCATGTTCCCCGGGAAAATTTTTCAAAATTGGACTCTCGTAAAAGCCATATCCTGCATTCCCTGGATCGAACGCAATTAATTCATACGTGTATTTTGTTGAGCTTTTCTCAGAGTTTCGTTATTCACGATTCCCGAGCCGAAGTACAAAGATTCATGATTCCCAAGTTTTTAAAACAAAGATTCATGATTGCTAAATGTTTTGCAACTATGATTCATGATTCATGATTCCGCTTCTATCCCTGATTCTCTTAATTCAACCCCCCCGGACACCCTATGGCCCCCTCAGTGTCCGTGTTAACGGGATTTGAACCCCCCCCGGACATCCCATTAATATGGATACTTTCTATGGCCCCCTCAGTGTCCGTGTTAACGGGGTTTGAACTCCCCCCGGACACCCCATTAATATGGATACTTTCTATGGCTCCCTCAGTGTCCGTGTTAACGGGGTTTGAACCCCCCCGACACCCCATTAATATGGACACTTTCTATCGCCCCGTCAGTGTCCGTGTTAACGGGGTTTGAACCCCCCGGACACGCATTAATATGGACACTTTCTATGGCCCCCTCAGTGTCCGTGTTAACGGGGTTTGAAGGTAACTTTTTAATACAAAATAAATAACACAACGCCACAATAGACAGTAACGCCTGATCGCTGTTTAGCACTGAATAAATTTTATCATGAATACCGTTTTTCAAGAAAGGATGAAAGGATAGGGGAGACTTTGATCAAGCGTGTAAGGATATACAGTCAAATCCCGTTGATACGGACGGGACTGAGGGGGCCATAGAAAGTGTCTGTTTTAACAGGGTGTCCGTATTAAGGGGTTGAATTGAGAGAAAATGTATGGCTTGCTTTCCCCAGGGACAAAGCAAACTGTCCGTAATAATGAGGTGTCGGTATTAAGCAGGTGTCTGTAAAGCGGAGTTTGACTGGTTCGATAACAGGCTACCTTTCCTTCTCCTAAGTTTTCCCAGCTGAGGATAAGGTACAGGTGTTGAATAAAAAGGCTCCAGAAATACAATGTTATTATAAAACTGAATATGGTCGGTAAACAATAAATGTATTACTTGAAGACTTAAAGTGAAACCACTTGACTAAAAGTCAAGGCTTATAAATTAGGTGAAGTTATAGTCAGCTTTACGATTTAAAGTTTCATAACATGACAACGCAAAATGATGATGATGATGATGACGATGATGACGATGATGACAACGACGAAGACCATGGGATGATAACTTCCGCACTGACCACGTTCAGACCTATTCAGGACTACACTCAACCGGATGATCGTATACAAAACATTTATTTAACTTACTCATGAAATTAACCCTGGGTTCACACCATTGACAGAAAGTTCTTTGTTGTCTGATTTCTAAGAAATGTGCTCATCAAAACAAACGAAACGAACCAGTGGACGTCTAGGAAACTAATCGGGAAAAACCCCTTTAAAACAAAGCAAGCCAGCACTGTCACTACGACATTGTTTATATGAGAGACGGCGAGATCGACAATGAATAGCTATAATGAATTACACGAAGAGGAACGTAATTTTTCTATTGATTTTTCGCCTACAGAATCTTCGAAAATTATAGGGCAGCCTGGGGGAGATGTAGCCATACCGATTGAAGATTATTCTCCTGATCCCGAGACAACAACACCCACCGACACGACGCTGCTACATTGCTGCACTCGCTCCTATTTCTTCTTCGCTGGGCAGTGGTTTTGGCCTGCAGAAAATTTCATCAAAAGTCAAAACCTGCCAAGAAAAGCATGTAGAATCGCATACGCCATTTGGCAGGTGATAGTTGTGCTGATAATGTGGTCCTATTTCCTGTACTCGATGGGATTTTTCACACTGCGAACCATTGAGGAAGTCGATTGGCTGTGCCCGCTAACCGACATCAAGAACATGGCTCACGGTTTATGTTGGATAGTAAATCAGCACACGGGACTCGTATTTTTCTTGTTTGGCAACTTTGAAAGTCTTCTGAAGCAGCTGAGCGTCACCAAGGAAGAGGTAAGTATCCCAGAACGGGGAACTGGGGGAAGGAAGGAAACAGGGAAAAAGAAGAAGGGGATGGCCCGGGGTGCATTCCTAGGGAAATGTAAATTATGCTTTACAAGTTATTTTAACCTCTTTAAGTGAAATTGTAATGTGTAACCGTCCAGCCTAAGGCTACTGAGGACGAAATTTGTATACTACTGTTGAATATACTGCACAAGGAAATCTAACGATATTGAAGCAGTCGTGAAACCCTATAGTGTAACTGTTGTGGTTCAATTTTATCCTTGGCTCAAATTTTCTTTTCTTTTGTTTTTGGGTATGGTAATGTATGGTAATAACATGATAATGAGTTTGAAACAAAAGAAAGGAAAATCTGAACCAAGGATAAAATTGAACCACAACATAACCACGGGCGTCCCAAGCTCGCGTTTGGAGCGTGTTATGTAAAAGAGTCGGTGTCGCGTTACAAGCAACAGTTAAGACTTTGCATGAGAAATAAAATCCTGACGTCTGCGAACGCTAAATATCATCATTTTTACTTTTTTTCTATGAAATAAATTAAGAAGACTTACCTTTTGTGTACTACTGTGTTTTTGGTGTGAATTTATCCATTTAGTCGGTTTTTTTGGCTTTTTTTTGGAGGTCAAACAATAACAGCCAAAAAAACCGACTACAGTTGACTCCCGATAACTCGAACTCTCGCTAACTCGAACCTCGCGTTAACTCGAACCGAAATCGATTTCCCCCGGATTTCAGTCATACATTTACTGTGTAACTCGAACCCTCGATAATTCCAATCTCCCGCTAACTCGAAGTAGTTTTGTTTCCCCTCAGATCATTTCTATATAATTTTACCCTCGATAACTCGAGCCATGTTTTGAGCCCTTAAAAGTCGGGAAAAAAACAGTCTACTGGTGTCCCAAACATTGAATTTTGAATTTCCCATTGACGTGTTGTAGGCATATAGTTTACTACTGGAGGTTGATGTTGTTTGTCACAAATCTAACGTGAAACAGCTTTACTTCTCAAAACAGTAAAACGCATGCTCTATTTAAGCAAGGTTTTGTTATGTTACGATTCTGATTTATAATCTAGAAGTATCTTTTAATTTTCACTTGACATTTCTACAATTAAATGTGATTAAAATGTTCACTGTGTAGTAAAAACTGATTTTTTTTCCTTACTCCCGGCTATTTTTTTCGAGCACCCGATAACTCGAACTCCCGATAACTCGAACGCCTGATACTCAGGCTATTTTCGATTTCCCTTGAACATGTTGAAGGTTCGAGTTATCGGTAGTTGACTGGAAATCGATAAATTCACACCAAAAACACAGTAGCACATAAAAGGTAAGTCTCCCTTATTTATTTTATAGAAAAAAAGTAAAAATTATGATATTTAACGTTCGCAGACGAGACCTCAGAATTTTATTTCTCATACAGTGTTAACTGATGCTAGTAACGCGACACCAACTCTCCTGTGAGAAAGGTAATTTACATAACATGTTCGTAACGTGAGCTTGGGTTGGGACACCTGTGGTGTAACCATTCCAATGAATGCTACTGAGCAGTACTTTCCTGTGGTACTGTTTATTATGCTGTACAAGGTGGCTCTAACTTTTGAGTCTGTGGATGAAACCCTAAAGTGTGACCATTCAAATGAAAGCTACTAAGCAGTACTTTCCTGTGGTACTGTTTATTATGCTGTACAAGGTGGTTCTAACTTTTGAGTCTGTGGATGAAACCCTGATGTGTGACCATTCAAATGAAAGCTACTGAGCAGTACTTTCCTGTGGTACTGTTTATTATGCTGTACAAGGTGGCTCTAACTTTTGAGTCTGTGGATGAAACCCTAAAGTGTGACCATTCAAATGAAAGCTACTAAGCAGTACTTTCCTGTGGTACTGTTTATTATGCTGTACAAGGTGGTTCTAACTTTTGAGTCTGTGGATGAAACCCTAATGTGTGACCATTCAAATGAAACCTACTGAGCAGTACTTTCCTGTGGTACTGTTTATTATGCTGTACAAGGTGGTTCTAACTTATGAGTCTTTGGATGAAATACTAAAGCTACTAAGCAGTGCTTTCCTGCGGTACTGTTTATTATGCTGTACAAGGTGGTTCTAACTTATGAGTCTTTGGATGAAATACTAAAGCTACTAAGCAGTACTTTCCTGTGGTACTGTTTATTATGCTGTACAAGATGGTTCTAACTGTTGAGTCTGTGGATGAAATCCTGTGGTCTGACCATTCAAATAAAAGCTACTAAGCAGTACTTTCCTGTGGTACTATTTATTATGCTGTACAAGGTGGTTCCAACTTTTGAGTCTGTGGACGAAATCCTAAAGTGTGACCATTCAAATGAAAGCTACTGGGCAATACTTTCCTGTGGTACTGTTTATTATTCTGTACAAAGATGACCTAGCTTTGAGCCTGTGGATGAAATCCTCAGCGCGACCATTCAAATAAAAGCTACCGAGTAGGACCTTCCGGAGAGACTGGTTCAACTGAAGGGACAACTGACTGGTTGTTAGTAGCATGCGAAAACAGCTGTTTCTCCTCGCTAAATGGCTGTGTTTGCAGGCTATTTATTACAACATCAAGAGGGTTCTGGCCTTTCAAAGAACTCATCCACTATTGAAACATTCTTGTACTGTTGACGTTTTGAAACACGAAATTAAACGCAAGACGTTTTCTATACTTAACGTCAGTCTTTCGAAATCATTTCTGTAATCTTTAGGTGAGGAGAAGAGCTCCGTCCCACTCGATCTCCGTGTTCGTGGTAAATTCTGTGCTTTGGCTATTTGTCGTTCCAATAAGTTTGCATGCCACGCAAATGTTAATACCAGATTTTTTGAAAGGGCCAAGACACAGAGACGGAAAGATCACGGGGACCAATAACATCACCTTCCCAGCGACACAAATAGCTTTTGATGTTATCTTTTACGCAGCCAGTCGCGGTTTTTCGCTGCCCATTTTCTTCGCGTTTCTTTACATGATGTTGTTCCTGTGTTGCGAAGTGGACAAATTCAAAGACGAGCTTGGAGATGGTCTCTATCCAACCGAAGATAAAGCCAAGAAAAAAGCCATAAAAATAAGAACACTGATCAAGGAGACTGAGAAGGCTTTCCGTTTTTTCCTCTCCTTGTATATAGCCATGATTTTATTGGCTTCAGCACTGGAAATATTCTCCATCGTGGAAAAAGTTGAAACCGTGATAATAGCAAACGACACCGTTTATGAAATACCTACCAGCGCTACAGCAGCCAGCCTGCAAACGTTAAATGTTGGGTCGAAAAATTTGATGCCTTTTCCACACAGGTAGGACTCTAATTGTAAATCTCATTACAATTCCGTCTCAATGGGTTCCAGTCCTCGCTCCTACTTTTAAAAACTTCCGCGCCGGTCCGAATCGCTGCACTAAAGTGCAGACTGTTCGCTCCGTTCTCTTCGCGCCGAAATCACGGTTCTTGCCGTGTGACGGGAAGCCCTATCCGGTTTGATTTTAGTGGCGGCGCAAAAGCTTTTCTGTATAGTGTGAACATAGCCTAATTTATAGTTCTAACAGCACTTTGTTTTGTTCATAACTATGTTTGTTTGCAAAATCATAACAGTTTTCAAGATCTTTCTAATCTCATGCAATGTGCGTCAAAATTCGGTTGAATTCGGTAAAAGTTCCGTTCAGTAATTAGCTGATATTATTTAGTTCTAAACCTCCAATACTGCATTTTCAGCTTATTCACTGGTACACACTGTATCTCAGCCATCATTTCTGCGTTTGAACCTATAATATTATCAAATGGGCGACAGCCTGAATCCTGTACAACTTAAGACGACCCTGAGTAAAATCTAACAAAAACTGGGTTTAAAGCGAAGCTTGAGAATTCAATGACACAGTTATTCTATTCGCCCTTGTTGGATAAGAGATTGGCCTTTTAGCCAGCTCGGCGTGCGGTCTTTTGGAGAAGAAGGAGTAAAGCTCATTACAACTTATTAAACCTGATAACCCTTTGAAAACAAAAAGTACAACAGAAAAGCTATCTTGATCTTTCTTCAATCTTAAATCTGTTAAATCGGTTAATTGCCAATAGCATGGCTAATCGTGGCAATGGGTGGTATAATTAGGCAGTAGGTGATGACAGATGGCTGTTGGCTGTGGACTTAAACACGACCAAAGCCAGTAAATGGAAGACCGTTCCACACATGTATACACCGGGCAAAAAAAGAATGCATGTAGTGATCAATAGAAACGGGTTAAAGGTTGCATGTCGCACTATGGGACTTCCTGGTACAATCCCATGTGTCCTATCTTCCTTTTTTCCCTGGGAATATAAACGATAGAAATGAAGGGGGAAATAAAGTTTTCATGCAAGGATTTAAACTAATTAACAAAACAGTTTAGTGAGGAATGCTTAGTTCCTCTGAATTAAAGCTCATATTAGTACTAACAAGTTACCATGTGAACTCCTGTTCACAGGTTGACGGGAAATCGCCCAATTCCGTATTATCTGGTTGTGATTCCTCCCTCAAATCACACCGTGGGAATGTCTGCAGGTGAAGACTACACCCGTAAGAATGTTATCGATCACTACAAGATCACGACGCAAGAGATCGTGGTAACAGCTGTACTGGACATAACAGAAAACGTGGTACTGTACGCCTTTCCACTCTACCAGATGTCTGTTCTCAAAAGTTGTTTGAAAAGAGTACTGGAGATGGTGGAAGACAGCGATTATGGAGCACCGGAAACCCACTTGGACGGAACTACATCTGGCGATAATGCAGCACAGGGATTCCACTTAGACGGAACTACATCTGGCGATAATGCAGCACAAGGGACCCACTCAGAACATACGGCTTCTTGGGAGGAAACGCCTAAAACGATATTTAGAACAAGACAAGAGAAGAAAGACTTCACGAATTGGTACCGCGCTACGTGTACTTCTGGTGTTAAAGTTCTTGGTAGAGAAGTGAGTTTTCTCTGGGCCTTGGTGTTGACCTTCTTTGCTCCCTTTGTTGTGGTGGTGGTGAATTTGATGTTTAAGCACATTGACATCGAATCTCCGTGGCATTAACAAGGAAATCGATAAAGAGGACAAAAACGCTGGACAAACTTGTTCACTGTCACCTGCGCGATGTAGTTTTTCCTACCTGATTATAGGTTAAACCATTGCCGGTCATTTCGCAACGCAGTTCAGTTGATTCCGAATTTCGCTCTACAGTTGTATTTTGAAATTGATGCACGCCGTGATGGTATTGCAACCCAGTTTGTTCTTTACACAAATACTGTGATGCACAAAAGAAAGCAAAACTTTTCAGGCCAATTTCAGTACTTATACAGCGTTTTCACTCACGTGACCAGCATTTGTGCAAATTTATTGGAACAAAAGAAAGCGTTTACATAAGAAAAGAGTTCAACTACCACAGGACTGGTTTGGGACACAAACATGGCTGCCGTTTTATTGTTTTGGGAGACCAATCGGCCTAAACCCCCTGGGGGGATCTTATAAAATTTACCCACCGTCGTATTCTTTATTGCTTCTACACTACACTTAGATGAAATTTCAAAGTTCTTTAACATTTCTGCTCAGAAAATGTTCATGAAAGTGTAAGTCTCTTCAATTTTTAAGGAAGAAAAAAAATTTAGAAGAGCAGGAGTAAGAATCGAACCCGGAGTGCTGTATACCACTACGCCGATGAGGAATTTCTGGCTAGCACTGGTTTGATTTAAAGCTATATATCAGCAAGCTGAACTCTAAATAGAAGCTAACCGTTTGGAGTCAGTGCTTAACCCTAATCACTATTTTCAGGGCTTAACCCTTATCACCAGTTATCACCATAGTCAGTGCTTAACCCTAATCACTATAGTCAGTGCCCAAAACCAAAGCGATAAGGAATACTAGGTTGTGTAAACTTCATAAGGTGTCCAAGGGAGTTTTGGCCGATGGGATCTAATGTTAACAAACACCAATATGCGCCGCGTGACGTCATGTGAAAACGCTCTATAGGCTCAATTGCAAGCCACTGTTTGGGAAATGAGCCCGCGATCCTCTCTTGAGGAGGAACAAAGAGCAACGGAAACGGAGCCTATTAAGTTACTTATCATGCTTATAGAATGAGAAATTGGCTTAGTTAACGTTGTACGAAGTCCTTTTTTTGCGCAATCCTTCCGCTAGCGAAAAGACCGGATACCAGTCAAACAGATAGCTAAGCATAATATTTACAATACCATTTTGCGCAATTTAGTTTCAGGTTTCCATTAGAATAACGGATGATTTGAGAAGCCAATAATGTTGTGAATAATAATAACAGCTGATAATGATGATCAAGGACATGATGATGATAATGTTGACAACAAATAAATATTGGATGTGGTTTTTGTGATATTCGGAATAATCAAGGTCGAGCTAAAATAAAATGTTATCAGCCGAGCCAAAAGGCCGGAACTGATAACACTCACCGAGACCTTGATTATTCCGGATATCACAAAAACCGAATCTAAAAATTGTTTCATTTCACATTGTTTTGAAGAAAATAAGGAGTTTACTGAACGATGACGACGACGGCAACGAGAACGGCAAAAAAGCAATAGGTTTAGACAAGCAAAACAACAACTTTGCACGTGCATCACGCTTCTTTGTACATTTCTCTTCCGTCGTTGCACGACTACAACGTGAAAGTGCCTAATTTCACGTTTTGTCGAGGACGGGGCCAAAAGACAACAACTTTCTTTTTCTTTTCCTGAACTTTGATGCTGTCCTTTAGAATTCAACTCCAAAAAAATTGGCAACATTTGAAGAATCAACGAGATGGAATAAGCGCGATGAGGTTTGAAGCAGCGCAAATTCACTTTTTAAGTGACGTTTTCGACAACTAACACACCGTCGTACAGAACATGTTTTCTGTCGTGGCTGGAAATCATGCATTGCGCGTGCAACCTACAGATTAGTCAGTTACCTGCTAGCAGATAACTAACTAATCCGTAGGTTGCGTAGTCTCAGCTGTCGCAATAGTCGCAGCTGTTTTTAGGGTAGTCACTGGGAACGAGCGTTGCGTGACGACCCTAAAAACGGTTGCGAAAGAGATTATAGGTTGCGCTGATTTCCAAAATTAACTGTAGGCTCTTAGCCAATGTACTGCATACACTCAATTCTCTCGTAAGCGACCACCCTTGGTATACGAACCTTGGTCGCTTACGGGAAGTGGTCGTCTATGGGAAAAATCAAGACAATAAGTCAATCCCTCCGAGACGGGCACCACTGGAATTGAACCGACATGAGTGTCCGTCTAGGAGAGATGTCGGCTTTACAGAAAGTAAGAGTACAGCACTGAAGAAAGGAAGGTACCATGCCCAGATGTCTAGACTTCCTAGAAGTTTGTCTAATAGAGAGTTGACTGTAGTAACGTTGTAAATATTTGTAAAATAATGTAAATAATCATTTACGACAAAGTTGAGCCTGCTTAATGCCAACGAGCAGCCTCGCGAGAGGGCAGCATAATAAAGCCGTGCGCAAAAGTTCCAAGACAGAACGAATCTCGAAGCGATGTAACAGAAGGTAGTGTAAGGTAACTTCTACGACGTAATGAATCCGACACCAAAGACTTCTTGTCACAGTCCGGTTACTTGCACCCCTTTTAAGCATCGCAGACCGTGATCCGTTTGGCCAGTGCCACCCGCAAAAAGATCGCGGATCTGGGGACGATAATGCTTTGCGGACTTCCTCAAGTAATGAAAAATGTCCCGTGATCTCACATGAATCACGTGACAAAACATCGGGTAGAGCTAGTGCAAGAAGTGTTGTTCTCGGGTTTGTGTGGGGATTTCGACGACCGTTTATTTAGGAGTCAAAAATAGCAAACAATAACCATCAAAACTTCTCGAAGTCAGTCTCCGACATTAGCAGAAATAACTCTTACTTACAGAAAAAAAATGTTACGTGAATCTGTTAAATTCATATTTTTTTTATAACGAAACGTTAGCAGAAACAATTCTTGCTTAAGAGAGAGAAGTGACGACCGGAAATGCTACGTTCGCAGGCTAAGATTCGCCATTTGCACATCTCCCATAATACACCTCGTTTATCCCCATTGTTTTCTCTTGGGGCCATTGAAATACCCAGGAGAAATTAAAAACAGAGATTATGCAAACTTTTGAGGTGCCAAAAAAGTGTATTATGGGAGATGTAAAAATGGCGAATGAAATTTAAAACAGCGCGAATGAGTCACTTCCGTGACGTTTTCACTGATGACGCTTTGGTGGTTAAGTTTTAGACCGTATGATGTACCAACCACAACTTCATTCATAAATGTATCCGAATCACAATCGCTACAATAAGTTTTCGTTTCTTCATTTCGGTTTCTCGTGTGGAACGGGAAGCGACATATATCAGGTACCTGCAGAAGGTCAACAAAAGGTCGAGATCAGTTCACCGAAAGTGAAAGATATGTTTGAAAACACTTCCTGTCTGTTATTTCCTTTCGGGGAAGTACCTTTGACAATTATCTACACTGTACATTCATTTTCGTAAATAACGAATGAGAATTAAGCTGTTGCTCTGTTACAACATGGAAAACTCATGAATACAGCCAAAGCCAACTTTACGGACAACTGCTTAATACGGACACAGCATTGTCCCGGACAGTTTGCTTTGTCCCTGGGGTGTGAGAAAGCCCTTAAATTTTCTCTTATCGGGGGTAGGAGCGGAATCATTTGAATCATGATATTCATGATTCCTGTCGTTTTTGCCTCAGTGATTCATGATTCCGACAAGAATTCAGATTTTGTCTTGGCATGGAGTTTTTTTTCACTGAACATTAAGCACAAGGTTATTGGAGAAACAAGCAGACTGTCAGCCCCGATTACACGAATTATATAGGGGGTCCAGGGGCATGTTCCCCGGGAAAATTTTTGGACTCTCCTAAAAGCCATATCCTGCAGTCCCTGGATCGAACGCAATTAATTCATACGTGTATTTTGTTGAGCTTTTCTCAGAGTTTCGTTATTCACGATTCCCGAGCCGAAGTACAAAGATTCATGATTCCCAAGTTTTTAAAACAAAGATTCATGTCGGTATTAAGCGCGTGTCCGTAAAGCGGAGTTTGACTGTATTGATAACAGGCTACCTTTCCTTCTCCTAAGTCTTCCCAGGTTAAGGATGAGGTACACACGTTTAATAAATAGCCTCAGGAAATAAAATGGTATTATAAAACTTAATATGGTCAATAAAAAATCAATGTTTTACTTGAAGACGAGTGAAACTACTTGACTGGAAATCAAGGCTTATAAATTAGGCGAAGTTATAGTCAGCTTTACGATTTAAAGTTTCATAAAATGACAACGCAAAATGATGATGATGATGATGATGATGATGATGATGATGATGATGACAACGAAGACAATGCCATAATAACTTCCGCACAGACCACGTTCAGACCTATTCAGGACTACACTCAGCCGGATGGTCGTATTCAAAATATTTATTTAACTTAGTTATGAAATTAATCCCGGGTTCACACCATTGACAGAAAGTTCTTTGTTGTCTGATTTCTAAGAAATGTGCGCATCAAAACAAACGAAACGAACCAGTGGACGTCTTGGAAACTAATTCGGGAAAAACCCCTTCAAAACAAAGCAAGCACTATCGCATTTAGTGGAAGTACATCATTGTTTTAGTGGGAGAGCCAAAATCGACAATGAATCGCTATCGTCAATTATCCGAAGAGGAAAGGAATTTTTCGATCAATTTCGATCAATCTAGAGAATCTGCGATTATTATAAGGCCACCCCACGTAGTGATAAATATACCGAACGCAGGAGCCCATGATCCCGATACAACAGAACGCAACGCCATGACGCTGCTACATCGTTACACTCGCTTATATTTCTTCTTCGCCGGGCAGTGGTTTTGGCCTGCAGAAAATTTCATCAAAAGGCACAATCTGCCAAGTAAAGTATGTAGAATCGCATACGCCATTTGGCAGGTGATAGTTGTGCTCATAATGTGGTCCTATTTCCTGTACTCGATGGGATTTTTCACACTGCGAACCATTTTCATACGGTTAAGGTGAATCAGTGTGAACGAAACAATACAACGCATGAATTTTCAACCGCTCGAAAATTTGTCAGGTACCGATTTGAATTGAACATCTTTGCGCATGTTCTACATGGGTATTTAGAGAAAAAATGTTTCAGGGCTCCAGAAACGACTGACAACGAACGAAATCCATGTACAAAACAGCACTAAATCGCGTCCGAAAGATACATGAATTTACTCGTTCAAATTTGTGACAAGCGAGCAACGTACCTTCCCAATCAGTGAAAAGAGAAAAATACTTTGCGATCATCGATAAGTAAAATGCAGTGTGAATAAAAGAAAAAGGAATTTTCGCTGATTTCGACAGTTTAGAAATTCTACAGGGTTAAATGCGACCTGAACGCCTTATTGTGGCATACTGACTAAACGCTAGCAAAATACACAATTTAGATAAAACTATATTACAGAACAAAAAAGACAAACAGTTTCGAAGTGAAATGCAATACTAGAGGAGTAGTATTGTAGAAGATAAAGCCTCATTAAATGTTGTTTTTACAACCTCGAAAAACTAAAATTACCTTGATGTGTTGAAGAACGTTACTCTGACCAGCTGCAAACACTGCTCGAAAGTTAAAGATGTCAAGTATTTACGAGGAGAAAAAAAACATTCGGTCAGAAAAGAAAACGCAACTCGTCGCAACCAAAAAATATTTGGATCGTCAAGGTGAAATTGAAAGAAGGCCACACCCATTTTACGTCATAATTTGAGTAAGGTCAAAAAACTTTGAACCGATTCGACAATTAAATGCCTCTCCTCCTTACTTTCTTTTTTGCCTTCCAAAAAAGATCGATTATTTAGTGAAGGCATAATGTAGAATTGTGACGCATAATTATTCGTTTGCTGAGGGAATTTCACAAAATATTCAAAGCAAAGAATAGATTAATCAGAGGCATGACTCTTGCCCTTATATTCAGCTTGCATAAAAACAATGCGTTGTTCCATGATTTTAAAGAAACACAAAGTTTTCTTCTTTTTTTGCGTAATAAATAAATTTAATTATACCTTTAAGACGTTTACATGAGCAAATTTTCCTCCCGAATAGATTTCGAGAAAGTTTGTAGATTTTGTGGCATCGTTTTCTGTTGATGTGGACGCGGCGATGTCAACAAAACATACTCCAAAAGGCTGTTTCCGAGTTGCCCCCAGCCTCTGTGTCAAAGCGAGGCTGAGTGCAAAGACATTGCTTTGATTTTTCTTCTCTTTTACACTCATGCAAATAAAATTCATTTTCACAAGAAGGGTTTTGCACTTAACCTCGTTTTGAAAGTGAGAGTTTTTGGGGTTCCGAAACAACCTCGTTCCCAGGGTCTTTCCTCTCCTACTCGTAGTAGGAGAGGACCCTGGGAACGAGGTTGGCTCGGAAATGGCCCGTTAAGTTCAATGTTAGAAACGTTTTTTCACTTGTGGTTTTTCGTACACGCACTGCAGCCAAAGTTTTGGGCATCGAGCGCAAAGGGTGAAAAACGGGTGCGAGAGTTCGGCTCTTTGTCTGGTTATTTTCTTTTATTTCACCCAACCCAACCTTCCAGGGAAGGGGGAAATGGTGGCGGGGGCTTAACCTCGCCCAACCCAACCTTATGAGAGCTAGCGCGCAAGCTACAGTCAGATGAGTACGAGTAGAACTCTTTCCAATGTTTTGACTGGTGAGGATCTAGGTACGAAATAACTTGGAAGCACGAGGGGGAGGAGGTTCAGCAACCTTGTTTCCAGGGCTTTTCCCCGACCCTCCCCTGGGGACGAACTTGGAGATTGAGGTTTAAGGGGGCAGCGAGACCGGGTGAATAAAGCACTAGAATTGCAATCCAGAGGCCCCCAGTTCAAGTCCCGCCCCGACCACTAACTGAATTTGTTCTCGGTAGTCCCTAGTTCAAATCCTCGCTCACGCGTGTAAAATAGCCGACGCGTTTACTTCGGGTCAGTTGGGGTACTTATTAACCTTCTTATGTTCACTTTCAAATGTTTGTTTCTGTCCTTATTTGTTAGCCACAATAAAAACTACTGGGTTACCATTAATTGTGTTACCCCCACAACGTCATTTTATTTGGGGGAGGGGGCGCTAGTGTTTCTCCACTTTCTTGTCAGCCGTATCGTGAACAAACAGAACATTCGACGCGCAAATTGAAGCACACTCCTGTGTTATGAAACTCCGCTTCGATCTTTGTACTCAGCCATTGTTAAGCCTGGCTAAAGGAGGAGGGTTGAGCAGGGGGACCACAACGCCATCCCGTAAACAAGAGAAACAACAACAACAAAAAACCAAGGCACAGCAACCAAAACCACAATGTACATCAACAGTGGTAATGGCGATGAAGTAAAGGAGATGGGTAGATTTGGAAACGACGCCAGTGGCGGATCAAGGGGAGGGGCCCGGGGGGCCACCCTCCTCCCCTTATCTTTAGACCAAACTGAGGCTCGAAGGGCCGAAAAAAATTTTTTTGAGGCCCTTATCTCAGGGTCTGGATGAACAGGTCCCCTCTGTATCTAAAGGTTTGGACCCGCCATTGGACGTTATAGCGATTTGCGAAGCACCGCGAAAAGGGAATGAAAAACAAGCCAGAGGAAGACCGAGGGAAACTTGGAGAAGGACAATATATCCAAAAAGTTAAAGGAAAACAACTTTTTATGGGTATTGATGGCGTGGTCTGATCAGGGCCTTATCTGCCGTTAAGTTCCATGAGAATTAACTAACCTAACACTATGCCAGGAGGGAAATTTATTATTATTCTTCTAATTATTATTGCTATTTTTACATTAACAAACGCAAGATGATATCTCCCTGCCATATCCCCAGCGGTTGTCCCAGAACCCGGCGCATAAGTAGCCCCCAGGCCCTTGTGCACGGAACGACGGACCGTTAATGACGTAATCAGGAACCATATTTGAAAAAGGTGATCTTGCCATTGGAGGAATCGTAGGCGAAGCGAGGTGCACGGCATCCCGGATTCCCTCGATGGAATTCCCGGATATGATAAGCGCCAAACGGGAGCCCGCGTGGGGCGCCAGGAAAACCGCGCCGGTCTGGGGTGAGGAGAAGTTGCAGTGACCTATGACATGGAAAATAGCGATGATCAATTGCTGTTTGCAGAGATAAATCTCATTTCATACCAAGGAAAGTACATGACAATTTAAATGAAAGCTATTAAGCAGTTAATTTCTGTGGTACTGTTTATATTATGCTGCATAGAGGTGGCTCTAACTTTTGAGTCTGTGGATGAAATCCTAAAGTGTGACCATTCAAATGAAAGCCACTGAGCAGTACTTTCCTGTGCTACTGTTATTATGTTGTAGAAGGTGGTTCTAACTTTTGAGTCTGTGGTTGAAATCCTAAAGTGTTACTATTCAAATGAAAGCTACTGAGCAGTACTTTCCTGTGATACTGTTTATTTTGTTGTAGAAGGTGGTTCTAACTTTTTTGTCTGTGGATGAAATTCTATGGTGAGACCATTCAAATGAAAGCTACTACTTTTCTGTGGCACTGTTTACTATGCTGTACAAGGTGGTTCTAACTTTTGAAGTACTTATCTCATTGTCAGGGTTGCTTCTTCTTTGAGCCAGTGAATGAGTTTCTTAAGTGCGTTCATTAAAATGATAGCTACTGAGCAATGCTTTAACCTTCAAAGATTACTATTCTGAAAATTTAGTACATAACAGTGCTTTCTTGTGCTACCACTGAAAGTGGTACAAAACTGGAACTACTTGGAATCAAGTTTGACTACTTGAATTAACACAACGAAAGCTACGGACTGAAATTTACCTATGGCGCTATTTCTATAAATGAAATTTGATATCACCTTAAACTTTTGACATTGGCTGCTGAGAATAAGTATTTGCCTGCAAACGCAGATGTATTTGCGGTGGAGAGAAGCGACGACCAGAAATACGTCTGCGTTCGTAGGCTAAACAACTACAAACATGGCGGTGGACTGCAACAACAAAATAAAACGTTCTATTTTGTGGCACGCGGTCTGGAAACGAAACACTGCATTCTGGCGAAATCTTCATTTTCCCAACAGCCTTTTTGTTTTTAGCTAACACCCTTCAGTGTCAGATCCAGACCTTGAGATAAAGCGGGGAGGGGGAAGCGGTCATCCAGACTCTTAGATAAGCGGGAGGGGGAGGTCTCCAAAAAAAAGAAAGGAAAACCTACCCAATGTCATTGTCTTGTCCTGATACTTCAGTGGAACCTTTCCATGGTAACGTTCAACCCAAGTGTTTTCCACAGGGCTGCCCAAAAGAATCAAGTTATAGCGATCAGCGGTCTCCACATCTAATTCTGTGTCACGGACAACAGGAGCCCAAGCATCGGAAGTTAAAAGGAAAAGATTGGCGATATACACTGCAAACTGCCTCAAGGCAACTTTTATGCGATGATTTTGTGATGAGGTACCTGAAAAAACGATTGGATGTTCTGGTTAAGTGCAAAAGACAAATACGTTATCCAAAAGAGTTAGTTAGCCTGCGAAGGCAGACGTTTCTCCTCGAGTCCTCGCTCCTCGCCCCTAAGGAACACAAAACTTTACGTATACCATAACCGACCAGGAGAAAGATAAAATCCAGCAAAAACAATTCTTGCTTACAGAAAAAAAAGTTACCTGACTCTGTTAGTTAAATTTTTTCATATATAACGAAACGTTAGCGGAAATAATTCCCGCTTAAGAGAGAGAAGTGACGACCGGAAATGCTACGTTCGCAGGAGGAAGTAAACTTGTAGGGATTCGCCATTCGCACATCTCTCGTAATACACCTTGTTTAAAACGGTTAGCATTAGATAACATCGAGTGAAGCCAGATTGGACACCTTATGAATTTTACACAACGCATTATTTTCATAATGGAACGAAACTGGAATGTAGAATGAGGCTAGAATAGCTGAAGAAACCAAAACTACAGAACGCCAGTTATGGAGAGAACACAGTAGAGAGTTAAGCACTGATCTGCAGTGATTAGGGTTAAGCACTGAACTGAAAACGGTTAGCTTTCAAATATTGTAATGGGGTACGGCATATATAAGAACATGTATATTTTAAAAATTACTGGATTTGGCTGCTAGTCTTCGATGGTGTAGTGGATATGGATGAAGGCTATAAAGCAAGTAACCCGGGTTCAAAGCATCACAGTGGAGTTTTTCTATTTCACTTTTATATTACACAGTAAAGTTGGACTTAAGTTGTTCTTCATGTAATTTAACTGAAAGAAACAATCTGACTTCAGCCGATGTTACCTAATGTTAACCGTTTAAAACAAAGATTATACAAACTTTTGGGGTGCCAATTTGTATTATGGGAGATGTAAAAATGGCGAACGAAATTTAAAACAGCGCGAATGAGTCACTTCCGTGACGTTTCCACTGTCGACGTTGTGGTGGTTGAGTTTCAGACTGTATGACGTACCAACCACAACTCATTCACGTATCTGTATCACATGCGCTGCAATCAGCTTTCGTTTCGTCATTTCGGTAGACTACGAGTAGTCCCCCATTTTTCCTCAGGGATAGTAGAGCGAGCGAAACGCGAGCGCGCGTGAAAATCACCCCACGCGAGAAAAGGCGACACGCGGCGGTAGAGAGAAAAATGAGGGACTACAGACAAAGCCCAAGCTTTTGACCTTTCACAGCCGCGTGTCGCCTTTTCTCGCGTGGGGTGATTTTCACGCGCGCTCGCGTTTCGCTCGCTCTACTATCCCTGAGGAAAAATGGGGGACTACTCGTAGTCTATCATTTCGGTTTCCCATGCCGATCGAACGGGCAGCTGTATGGCAGCTGTATCAGGTAACTGCAAAAGGTCAACAGGAAGTCGAGTTCAGTTCACCGAAAGTGAAAGTTATGTTTGATAAAACTTCCTGTCTGTTATTTCCTTTCAAGAAAGTACCATTCACATTTATTTACACTGTACATTCATTTTCGTCAAAAACGAAAGAGTATTAAGCCCTTGCTCTGACACAACATGAATAACTCATGAATAACTTTTTACTACAAAAGAAATAACACAATGCGACAATAGACAGTAACGCCTGATCGCTGTTTACCACTGAAAAAATTTTATCATGAATACCGTTTCAAGCGTGTAAGGATATACAGTCAAAGCCCGTTGATACGGACGGCACTGAGGGGGTCATAGAGAGAGTCTGTTTTAACGGGGTGTCCGTATTAAGGGGTTGAATTTAGAGAAAATGTAAGGGCTTTTTTTGACAGGGACAAAGCAAAGTGTCCGTAATAACGAGGTGTCGGTACTGAAAAGCGGAGTTTGACTGCTTTGATAATAGGCTACCTTTCCTTCTCCTAAGTCTTCCCATGCTACGGATAAGCGGTACAGATGTTTAATAAATAGCTTCAGGAAATAAAATGGTATTATAAAACTGCATATAGTCGGTAAAAAATCAATGTATTACTTGAAGACGAGTGAAATTACTTGACTGGAAGTCAAGGCTTATAAACTAGTTGTAGCTTTCGCTAAGTGCCTACAAAAAAAAGAATTTGCCTAAATCACCGGTTTGTCAGCTGCTGAGGTTGTCAGCTGCTGAGCCGAGAATTTCCACTACAAGCACTCCCTGTTCCTACATTTCTGCCATGCTCTTGGCCTTAAAATCGCTCTTATTCTTCTGCTTAGACATTTTTGAACCTTAAACTTGTCGAGTTTCAAACAGCGAAAGGGAAATAAAATTTATAGGTTTATAGCGCGAACTTTAAATAGTGGGTTGTAGTTCCTTCAAGTACAGTAGTGCGAACTTTGATGGTTTGTTTCGGCAACAAAGGTTATCAAAAGTCACGTGAAACTAAACGTGAAATCTAACGCTACTTAAATCCCCAGGGAATCTACACCTTACATTACACTAACATTACACTTTTCCCAGCACGATCGAGAATTTTTCTGCCTGCTGCAATACTTCGCGTGGCATTAAGCGGCCGCCTCCCAAGCCGACCGCCTTCGCTCGGCTTGCTCGTTGGCAGTTAGGTGAAGTTATATAGTCAGCTTTACGATTTTAAGTTTCATAACATGACAAAGCAAAATGATGATGATGATGATGATGATGATGATGATGATGATGATGATGATGATGACGACGACGAAGACAACGACGAAGACCATGGGATGATAACTTCCGCACAGGCTACGTTCAGACCTATTTGGGAATGCACTCAACCGGATGATCGTATACAAAACATTTATTTACTAACTCACTTATGAAATTAATCCTGGGTTCACTCCATTAACAAAAAGTTCTTTGTTGTCTGATTTCTAAGAAATGTGTTCGTCAAAACAAACGAAACGAACCAGTGGGCGTCTAGGAAACTAATTCGGGAAAAATCCCTTCAAAACAAAGCAAGCCGGCACTGTCGCATTTAGTAGAACTACGACATTGTTTTAATGTGAGATGTAAGATCGACAATGAGTTTCTTTCGTCGATTATCCCAAAATAATAGCCCATCTACAGTCTTAAATATACAGGACGATGATCCCGATACAACAGAACCTAGAGAGACAGAACCCAACGCCAGGGCGCTGCTACATTGCTGCACTCGCTCATATTTCTTCTTCGCTGGGCAGTGGTTTTGGCCTGCAGAAGAGTTTATCACAAAGCACAACCTGCCACGAAAACTATGTAGAATCGCATACGCCATTTGGCAGGTGTTAGTTGTGCTCATAATGTGGTCCTACTTCCTGTACTCGATGGGATTTTTCACACTGCGAACCATTGAGGAAGTCGATTGGCTGTGCCCGCTAACAGACATCAAGAACATGGCTCACGGTTTATGTTGGATAGTAAATCACCACACGGGACTCCTATTTTTCTTGTTCGGCAACTTTGAAAAGCTTCTGGAGCAGCTAAGCATCACCAAGGATGAGGTAAGTTTCCCGGGAACGGGGAAGTGGGGGGGGGGGGGGAGGGGGGAGGAATCAGGGAAGAAGAAGGGAATGGCCTGGGGTGCATTCCTAGGGAAATGTAAATTATGCTTCACAACTGAGTTACTTTAACCCCTTTAAGTGAAATCCTAATCCAGACTAAGGCTTCTCAGTTGGTGATACTACAGCTGATACTACTGTTAAATATGCTACAAAGGAAAATCTAAAGATATCGAGACAGTCGTAAACATTCAAATGGAAGCTACTACGCAATACTTTCCTGTGGTATTGTTTATTATGCTGTACAAGGTAGTTCTAACTTTCTCGTGATATGTGTAATAAACAGCTCACGTCATAGAAAGTGCTTTATACGGGGTTATATTCACGAGTTGTTTGTGTCAAAAGTCCTCACTCGCTCGTACCTCGCTCGTTCGGGTTTTGTAGACTGCTTGCAGTCCGCCTTTTCTCTTAAAATCCGTCCAGTTCTTATCTCATCCAGCGCGATTGCAAACCACGATACGCGACAAGCGGCCTCGCCGCTCGCGTGCTTAGGTTTGGCGTGCAGTAACTTTGCAAAGAAAAATAAGAGACTGCTCGCAGTCCGGGGTTTTGACACAAACAACTCGTGAATATAACCCCATACAAAGTACTTTCTATGACGTGAGCTGTTTATTACACATATCACGAGAATTTTCACTGAAATAGTTTTCTTAATGTAACACATATTAGTAAGAGCAAATCACAAACAGTAGAACCAAATGAAAATTTAATAGTAACGGCAAATCTCTTAACTCATTCTAAGTCCTGATCGAAAAATGAATAAAGGTCGTGCTGAACAGAAAATGCACTTACAAAAGTTTAATCTAAGTACGTCACAGACCTCAACGATGTGGGCTCGTATTATTGTTCGCCGTCTTTCTTTCGATTGAAGTAGAAAATTGGCGATTAACACGTCGAGATCTCTTGTATCAATATTTTCCAACTCTCTCGGCTCGTTCCTTCAAACTAAATACTTTATCAACAACGAAACATCTCTCTGAGTTTTGCTTTTTGTGTTCTTGATGTTGTTTTTTCTTTATGCTACACAAACTCTTCTAAGGAGCAACCAACCGACAAAAACCTGTTATAGTTTTCCTTCGTTCCCGGCATTTTGTGTTAATAAATTTGGAGGCGTCGCTAGACAGCCACCAAATCTGGAAAGCCATAAACGATGAACTACTCTGATATTGGCTCAGAAAGGCATTTATGCTGTCGTTGATTGGTTATGCTTCCACATGTCAAAACAGCTGCATGTACGCCATTCTGATTGGCTGTACAAGCTTTTCTCACATGTGGAAAATAAAGTGTATAGATTTCTACAAATAAGCTTTACGAAATAGAATTCTCGTAATACTTGTAATAAAAAGTGGCTCTAACTTTGAGTCTTTGGATGAAATCATTAACTGTGACAATTCAAGTGAAAGCTACTGAGCAGTACTTTCCTGTGGTAATGTTTATTATGCCGTACAAGGTGGCTCTAACTTTTGAGTCTTTGGATGAAATCATTAAGTGTGACAATTCAAGTGAAAGCTACTGAGCAGTACTTCCTTGTGGTACTGTTTATTATGCTGTACAAGGTGGTTCTAACTTTCGAGTCTGTGGATGAAATCCTAAAGTGTGACCATTCAAATGAAAGCTACTGAACAGTACTTTCCTGTGGTACTGTTTATTATGCTGTAGAAGGTCGTTCTAACTTTGAGTCTGTGGACGAAATCCTAACGTGTGACCATTCAAATGAAAGCTACTGAGCAGTACTTTCCTGTGGTACTGTTTATTATGCTGTACAAGGTGCTTCTAACTTTCGAGTCGGTGGATGTAATCCTCAGCGTGACCATTCAAATAAAAGCTATTCAGTAGTACCTTGCGGTGATATGAATATTACATATTGTTTGTGCCCAATCACAGACTAGATAAGTCGTGGAACTGGTTCGTTAAGAGTAGTATCCCAGGGGCTCTCTCGCCCGTTGTTGAAAACTTTCGCTGCCGTTTTCCCTGACGCAACTAAGGCAGACCAACTAACTGCTCCCAAGCTCCGAAACTCTGGAATGAGCTACCTGTGGAGCTTCGTCAGGCAACATCACTTAACAGTTTTAAATCTCGACTTAAAACCTATCTTTTTAAGAAGTATTTTTATAGTTTGTAACTTAGTTTATTTTATTCTCAGGGTAATGTATTTTCGTTTTCTTTTAAACATATGATTCTAAAGCGCTATTGATCAGCACATGTAAATACGCGCTATATAAATTGGTAAATTATTATTATTATTATTATTAAGTCTCCGAGGATATATTACGCCATAAAGAGGGTTCTGCCCTTTCAAAAACTGACTCATCCACTATTGGAATATCTTCGTGCTGTTCGCGTTTTGTTTTACGGAATTAAATTAAACGCAAGACGTTTTCTATATTACTAGGCACCTAATTTTGTCATTTCGCAATTGTTTCTTCAATATCTAGGTACGCAGAAGAGCTTCGTCCCACTCGATCTCTGTTTTCGTGGTAAATTCTGTGCTTTGGCTATTTGTCGTCCCAATAAGTTTGCACGCCACGCAAATGTTGATGCCAGAATTTTTGCCAGTGCCAAGATACACAGATGGAAAGATCACGGGTACCAATAACAGCTTCCCAGCCATACAAGTAGCTTTTGATGTTTTCTTTTATGCAGCCAGTCGCGGTTTTTCACTGCCCATTTTCTACGCTTTTCTTTACTTGATGTTATTTCTGTGCTGCGAAGTGGACAAATTCAAAGCCGAGCTTGGAAGCGGTCTCTATCCAAGCGAAGAAGAAGCCAGGGACAAAGCCAAAAAGATAAACACGTTGATCAAACAGACAGAAGAGGCCTTCCGTTTTTTTCTCACCTTGTACATAGCCATGCTCTTGTTGTCATCAGCACTGGAAATTTTCTCCATCGTGGAAAAAGCCGAAACCGTGATAACGGTAAACCACACCGTTCACGAAATACCTGGAAGCGCTTTAGCCAGCGTACAAACCTTAAATTTTGGGTCAAAAAGTTTGATGGCTTTTCCTCACAGGTAGGATTTTAATTATAAATCTCATACAATTCCTAAGGCTGTGTTCACATTATAATGGATACCGTGGCTTTTCGCGGCTTCAAGAAAAGCGATCCGGTATATATAGTATGAACAACAACGTCTCGGTTCCACGGAATTAAAGCTCATATTAGTACTAACAAGTTACGCTGTGAACTCCTATCCACAGGTTAACCGGCAAACGTACAATCCTAATTGTATTTCCCCCCTCAAATCACACCGTGGGAATGTCTGGAGGTGAAGGACTCATCCCAAAGATTCTTGTTGATCAGTACAAGATCACTACGCAAGAGATCGTGGTGACAGCTGTGTTGGACATCACAGAAAACGTGGTACTGTACGCCTTTCCACTCTACCAGATGTCTGTTCTCAAACGTTGTCTGAAAACAGTCCTAGAGATGGTAGAAGACAGCAGGTATGGAGCACAGCAAAACCCTAACAGGATTTTTAGAACACGACAAGAGAAGAAAGACTTCACGAATTGGTTCCGCAAAAGGTGCATTTCTGGTATTACAGTTCTTGGTAGAGAAGTGAGTTTTCTCTGGACCTTGGTGTTGACCTTCTTTGGTCCCTTTGTTGTGGTGGTGGTAAATTTGATGTTCAAGCACATTCACGTCGAATCTCCTTGGCATTAACAAGGAAATCGATAAAGAAGACAAAAACGCTGGACAAACTTGTTTACTATCACCTACAAGATGTAGTTTTTCCTAACTGATTATAGGTTAAACGACTGCCGGTCATTTCGCTACGCAGTTCAGTCAGGAGCCGATCGGCTCTTGGTTCAGTTGATTCCGAATTTCGCTATACAGTTGTATTTTGAAATTGATGCACGTCGTGATAGTACTGCATCGATATCCCTGTTTGTTCCTTACAGGAATACTGTGATACACAAATGACGGCATAACTTTTCAGCCCAAGTTCAGTACTTATAGAGCGTTTTCACTCACGTGACCAGCATCTATGTTAATTTATTGGAACAAAAGAAAGCGTCTTCATGAGAAAAAAGGGCTCCAGGACTCCCACAGGACTGGTTTGGAACACAAACGCGTGACGTCATGTGAAAACGTTCCATAGGTTCAATTGCAAGCCGCTGTTTGGGAAATGAGCCCGCGCTCCTCACTTGAGGAGGAACAAAGAGCTTTAGTTTCTTATCATGCTTATAGAATGCCTAGTTGACGTTGTAGCGGAAGGATTGCACAGAAAAAGGACTTCGTAGCGAAAATACCGGACACCAGTCAAACAGATAACTAAGCATAATATTTACAATACCATTTTGCGCAATTTAGTTTCAGGTTTCCATTAGAATAACGGATGATTTAAGAAGCCGATAATGTTGTAAATAATAATAACAGCTGATAATGATGATCAAGGCATGACAATGATGTTGAAAACAAATAAATATTGGATGTGGTTTTTGTGATATCCGGAATAATCAAGGTCGAGGTAAAAGAAAATGTTATCAGCCGAGCCAAAAGGCCGGAACTGATAACACTTACCGAGACCTTGATTATTCCGGATATCACAAAAACCGAAACTAATAATTGTTTTATTATACATTGTTTTGAAGAAAATAGGGAGTTTACGGAACGATGACGACGACGGCAACGAGAACGGCAAAAAAGCAAAGGGTTTAGACCAGCATTACAAAAACTTTGCACGTGCATCACGCTTTTTTGTACATTTCTCTTCTGTCGTTGCACGACTACAACGTGAAACTGCCTAATTTCACGCTTTGTCGAGGACGGGAACACAAGACAACAACTTTCTTTTTCTTTTCCTGAACTTTGATGCTGTCCTTTAGAATTCAACTCCAAAAAAATTGGTCAACATTTGACGAATTAAACGAGATGGAATAAGCGCGATAAAGTTTGAGGCAGCGCAAATTCACTTTTGAAGTGACGTTTTCGACAAACACACCGTCGCACGGATCATGTTTTCTGTCGTGGTTGGAAGTCATGCGTTGTGCGCGCAACCTACAGATTAGTCAGTTACCTGTTAACAGAAAACTAACTAATCAGTAAGTTGAGTAGTTGACAGCTGTTTTTAGGGTAGTCACTGGGGAGGAGCGTTGCGTGACGACCCTAAAAACAGCTGCGAAAGAGATTATAGGTTGCGCTGATTTCCAAAATTAACTGTAGGCTCTTAGCCAATCAGAAGACATTGACAGATAATGAGTATAATGTACTGTATACAGTCCATTCTCTCGTAAGTGACCACCCTTGGTGTACGACAAAGTGGAAAAATCAAGACAGTAAGTCAATCCCTCCAAGACGGGCACCACTGGAACCGACATGAGTGTCCTTCGTAGAGAGATGTCGGCTTTACAGAAAGTAAGAGTACAGCACTGAAGAAAGGAGGGTAACATGCCCAGATGTCTAGACTTCCTAGAAGTTTGTCTTATAGAGAGTTTACTGTAGTCATGTTGTAAATATTTGTAAAATAATGTAAATAATCATTTACGACAAAGTTGAGCCTGCTTGTTGCCAACGAGCAGCCTCGCGAGGGAACAGCAGAATGAATCTCGAAGCAATGTAACATAAGGTAGTGTAAGGTAACTTTTATGACGTAATGCAGAACAGAGAATGCATTGTTTTCGAGCGAACACGCACGCGAAAGTTCCAAGGCAGAATGGGTCTCGAAGCGATGTAACAGAAGGTAGTGTTAGGTAAGTTTTACGACGTAATGAATCCGACACCGAAGACTTCTTGTGACAGTCCGGTTGCTTGCACCCTTTTTAAGCATCGCACACCGTGATCAGTTTGGCCAGTGCCACCCGCAAAAGGATCGCGGTTCTGGGGACGATAATGCTTTGCGGACTTCCTCAAGTAATGAAAAATGTCCCGTGATCTCAGATGAATCACGTGACAAAACATCGGGTAGAGCTAGTGCAAGAAGCGTTGTTCTCGGGTTTGTGTGGGAATTTCAGCGATCGTTATTTAAGAGTCAAAAATAGCAAACAATAAACATCAAAACTTCTCGAAGTCAGTCTCCGACATTAGCAGAAATAACTCTTGCTTACAGAAAAAAAATGTTACGTGAATCTGTTAAATTCATATTTTTTTTATAACGAAACGTTAGCAGAAACAATTCTTGCTTAAGAGAGAGAAGTGACGACCGGAAATGCTACGTTCGCAGGTTAAGATTCGCCATTTGCACATCTCCCATGATACACCTTGTTTATCCCCACTGTTTTCTCTTGGGGCCACTTAAATACCCAGGAGAGATTAAAAACAAAGATTACGTAAACTTTTGGGGAGCCAAAAAAGTTTATTATGGGAGATGTAAAAATGGCGAATGAATTTTAAAACAGCGCGAATGAGTCACTTCCGTGATGTTTTCACAGTCGACGTTGTGGTAGTTGAGTTTTAGACCGTATGATGTACCAACCACAACTTCATTCATAAATGTACCCGAATCACATTCGCTACAATCAGTTTTCGTTTCTTCATTTTGGTTTCTCATGTGGAACGGGAAGCGACATATATCAGGTACCTGCAGAAGGTCAACAAAAGATTCACCGAAAGTGAAAACTATTTTTGAAAACATTTCCTGTCTGTTATTTCCTTTCGAGGAAGTACCTGTGACATTTATCTACACTGTACATTCATTTTCGTCAAAAACGAAAGAGTATTAAGCCCTTGCTTTGACACAACATGAATAACTCATTAATAACTTTTTACAACAAAAGAAATAACACAACGCGACAATAGACAGTAACGCCTGATCGCTGTTTACCACTGAATGAATTTTATCATGAATACCGTTTCAAGCGTGTAAGGATATACAGTCAAAGCCCGTTGATACGGACGGCACTGAGGGGGCTATAGAGAGTGTCTGTTTTAACGGGGTGTCCGTATTAAGGGGTTGAATTGAGAGAAAATGTATGGCTTGCTTTGACAGGGACAAAGCAAAGTGTCCGTAATAACGAGGTGTCGGTATTAAGCGGGTGTCTGTAAAGCGAAGTTTTTTTGACTGCTTTCATAACAGGCTACCTTTCCTTCTCCTAAGTCTTCCCATGTTACGAATAAGCGGTACAGATGTTTAATAAATAGCTTCAGGAAATAAAATGGTGTATTATAAAACTGCATATAGTCGGTAAAAAATCAATGTTTGAAGACGAGTGAAATTACTTTGACTGGAAGTCAAGGCTTATAAACTAGTTCTAGCTTTCGCTAAGTACCTACAAAAAAAAGAATTTGCCTAAATCACCGGTTTTAGTTCCAATCTTTATAAAACCATTTCAGCTGCTGAGGCTGTCAGCTGCTGAGGCGGGAATTTCCACTACAAGCACTCCCTGTTCCTACATTTCTGCCATGCTCTTGGCCGTAAAATCGCTCTTATTCTTCAGCTTAGCCATTTTTGAACCTTAAACTTGTCGAGTTTCAAACAGCGAAAGGGAAATAAAATTTATAGGTTTGCGCGAACTTGAAATAGTGAGTTGTAGTCCGTACAAGTACAGTAGTGTGAAGTTTGAAGGTTTGTTTACAACAAAGGTCATCAAAAGTCACGTGAAACTAAACGTGAAATCTAACGCTACTAAAATCCCCAGGGAATCTAACCTTACCTTACACTTTTCACAGTACGATCGAGAATTTTTCTGCCTGCTGCAATACTTTGCGTGGCATTAAGCTGGCCGCCTCGCAAGCCGACCGTCTTCGCTAAGCTTGCTCGTTGGCAATTAGGTGAAGTTATATAGTCAGCTTGATAGTTTCATAACATGACAAAGCAAAATGATGATGATGATGATGATGGTGATGATGACGACGACGAAGACCATGACACGATGATAACTTCCGCACAGGCCACGTTCAGACCTATTCGGGAATGCACTCAGCCGGATGATCGTATACAAAACATTTATTTAACTTACGTATGAAATTAATCCTGGGTTCACTCAATTAACAAAAAGTTCTTTGTTGTCTGATTTCTAAGAAATGTGCTCATCAAAACAAACGAAACGAGCCAGCTGGCGTCTAGGAAATTAAACTAATTTGGGAAAAACCCCTTTAAAACAAAGCAAGCCGGCACTGTCGCATTTAGTGGAACTACGACATTGTTTTAATGTGACAGGCAAGATCGACAATGAATCGCTATCGTCAATTATCCGAAGAGGAAAGGAATTTTTCGATCAATTTCGATCAATCTAGAGAATTTGAGATTATTATAAGGCCACCCCACGTAGTGATAGATATACCGGACGATGATTCCGATACAACAGAACCCAAAGCCATGACGCTGCTACATCGTTACACTCGCTTATATTTCTTCCTCGCCGGGCAGTGGTTTTGGCCTGCAGAAAATTTCATCACTGAAAGGCACAACCTGCTAAGAAAAGTATGTAGAATCGCATACGCCATTTGGCAGGTGATAGTTTGCTCATAATGTGGTCCTATTTCCTGTACTCGATGGGATTTTTCACACTGCGAACCATTGAGGAAGTCGATTGGCTGTGCCCGCTAACAAACATCAAGAACATGGCTCACGGTTTATGTTGGATAGTAAATCACCACACGGGACTCCTATTTTTCTTGTTCGGCAACTTTGAAAGTCTTCTGAACCAGCTGAGCATCACCAACGATGAGGTAAGTTTCCCGGGAACGGGGAAGTGGGGGGGGAGGAGGGAGGAATCAGGGAAGAAGAAGGGAATGGCCTGGGGTGCATTCCTAGGGAAATGTAAATTATGCTTTACAACTGAGTTGCTTTAACCCCTTTAAGTGAAATCCTAATGTATAACCATCCAGACTAAGGCTTCTCAGTTGGTGATACTAATGTTAAATATGCTACAAAGGAAACTCTAAAGATATCGAGACAGTCGTAAACATTCAAATGGAAGCTACCGCGCAATACTTTCCCGTGGTATTGATTATTATGCTGTACAAGGTGGTTCTAACTTTCTCGTGATATATGTAATAAACAGCTCACGTCATAGAGAGTGCTTTATACGGGGTTATATTCACGAGTTGTTTGTGTCAAAAGCCCTCACTCGCTCGATCGTACCTCGCTCGTTCGGGTTTTGTAGACTGCTTGCAGTCTGCCTTTTCTCTTAAAATCCGTCCAGTTCTTATCCATCCAGCGCAAACAGAAAATACACTTACAAAAGTTTAATCTAAGTACGTCACAGACCTCAGCGATGTGGGCTCGTTTTATTGTTCGCCGTCTTTCTTTCGATTGAAGTAGAAAATTGGCGATTAACACGTCGAGACTTCTTGTATCAATATTTTCCAACTCTCTCGGCTGGCTCCTTCAAACTAAATACTTTATTAACAACGAAACATCTCTCCGTGTTTTGCTTAATGTGTTCCTGTTTTTTTTTTTTTTTTTTTTTTTGATGCTACACAAACTCTTCTAAGGAGCAACCAACCGACAAAATCCTGTAATAGTTTTCCTTCGTCTCCGGTATTTTGTGTAAAAAAATTTGGAGGTCGCCAGAAAGCCGCCAAATCTGGAAAGCCATAAACGATGAACTACTCTGATATTGGCTCAGAAAGGCAATTATGCTGTCGTTGATTGGTTATGCTTCCACATGTGAAAACAGTTGCATGTACGCCATTCTGATTGGCTGTACAAGCTTTTCTCACATGAGGAAAATAAAGTGTATAGATTTCTACAAATAAGCTTTACGAAATAGAATTCTCGTAATACTTGTAATAAAAAGTGGCTCTAACTTTGAGTCTGTGAATGAAATCCTAACGTGTGACCATTCAAATGAAAGCTACTGAGCAGTACTTTCCTGTGGTACTGTTTATTATGCTGTACAAGGTAGCCCTAACTTTTGAGTCTTTGGATGAAATCATTAAGTGTGACAATTCAAGTGAAAGCTACTGAGGAGTACTTTTCTGTGGTACTGTTTATTATGCTGTACAATATTGTTCTAACTTTGAGTCTGTGGACGAAATCCTAACGTGTGACCATTCAAATGAAAGCTACTGAGCAGTACTTTCCTGTGGTACTGTTTATTATGCTGTACAAGGTGCTTCTAACTTTCGAGTCGGTGGATGTAATCCTCAGCGTCAACATTCAAATAAAAGCTATTGAGTAGTACCTTGCGGTGATATGAATATTACATATTGTTTGTGCCCAATCACAGACTAGGTAAGTCGTGGAACTGGTTCGTTAAGAGTAGTATCCCAGGGGCTCTCTCGCCCGTTCTTGAAAACTTTCGCTGACGCAACTAAGGCAGACCAACTAACTGCCCCCAAGTCTCCGAGGATATATTACGCCATAAAGAGGGTTCTGCCCTTTCAAAGACTGACTCATCCACTATTGGAATATCCTTGTGCTGTTCGCGTTTTGTTTTATGGAAATAAATTAAACGCAAGACGTTTTCTATATTACTAGGCACCTAATTTCGTCATGTCGCAATTGTTTCTTCAATATCTAGGTACGCAGAAGAGCTTCGTCTCACTCGATCTCTGTTTTCGTGGTAAATTCTGTGCTTTGGCTATTTGTCGTTCCAATAAGTTTGCACGCCACGCAAATGTTGATGCCAGAATTTTTGCCAATGCCAAGATACACAGATGGAAAGATCACGGGTACCAATAACAGCTTCCCAGCCATACAAGTAGCTTTTGATGTTTTCTTTTATGCAGCCAGTCGCTAATTGTATTTCCCCCCTCAAATCACACCGTGGGAATGTCTGGAGATGAAGGACTCATCCCAAAGATTCTTGTTGATCAGTACAAGATCACTACGCAAGAGATCGTGGTGACAGCTGTGTTGGACATCACAGAAAACGTGGTACTGTACGCCTTTCCACTCTACCAGATGTCTGTTCTCAAAAGTTGTTTGAAAAGAGTCCTAGAGATGGTAGAAGACAGCGATTATGGAGCACAGCAAAACCCTAACAGGATTTTTAGAACACGACAGGAGAAGAAAGACTTCACGAATTGGTTCCGCAATAGGTGCATTTCTGGTATTACAGTTCTTGGTAGAGAAGTGAGTTTTCTCTGGACCTTGGTGTTGACCTTCTTTGGTCCCTTTGTTGTGGTGGTGGTAAATTTGATGTTCAAGCACATTCACGTCGAATCTCCTTGGCATTAACAAGGAAATCGATAAAGAAGACAAAAACGCTGGACAAACTTGTTTACTATCACCTACAAGATGTAGTTTTTCCTAACTGATTATAGGTTAAACGACTGCCGGTCATTTCGCTACGCAGTTCAGTCAGGAGCCGATCGGCTCTTGGTTCAGTTGATTCCGAATTTCGCTATACAGTTGTATTTTGAAATTGATGCACGTCGTGATAGTACTGCATCGATATCCCTGTTTGTTCCTTACACGAATACTGTGATACACAAATGACGGCATAACTTTTCAGCCCAAGTTCAGTACTTATAGAGCGTTTTCACTCACGTGACCAGCATCTATGTTAATTTATTGGAACAAAAGAAAGCGTTTTCATGAGAAAAAAGGGCTCCAGGACTCCCACAGGACTGGTTTGGAACACAAACGCGTGACGTCATGTGAAAACGCTCCATAGGTTCAATTGCAAGCCGCTGTTTGGGAAATGAGCCCGCGCTCCTCACTTGAGGAGGAACAAAGAGCGACGGACATGGAACCTAAGTTTCTTATCATGCTTATAGAATGCCTAGTTGACGTTGTAGCGGAAGGATTGCACAGAAAAAGGACTTCGTAGCGAAACTACCGGTCAAACCAGTCAAACAGATAACTAAGCATAATATTTACAATACCATTTTGCGCAATTTAGTTTCAGGTTTCCATTAGAATAACGGATGATTTAAGAAGCCGATAATCTTGTAAATAATAATAACAGCTGATAATGATGATCAAGGCATGACAATGATGTTGAAAACAAATAAGTATTGGATGTGGTTTTTGTGATATCCGGAATAATCAAGGTCGAGGTAAAAGAAAATGTTATCAGCCGAGCCAAAAGGCCGGAACTGATAACACTTACCGAGACCTTGATTATTCCGGATATCACAAAAACCGAAACTAATACTTGTTTTATTATACATTGTTTTGAAGAAAATAGGGAGTTTACGTAACGATGACGACGACGGCAACGAGAACGGCAAAAAAGCAAAGGGTTTAGACAAGCAAAACAACAACTTTGCACGTGCATCACGCTTTTTTGTACATTTCTCTTCTGTCGTTGCACGACTACAACGTGAAACTGCCTAATTTCACGCTTTGTCGAGGACGGGAACACAAGACAACAACTTTCTTTTTCTTTTCCTGAACTTTGATGCTGTCCTTTAGAATTCAACTCCAAAAAAATTGGCAACATTTGAAGAATCAACGAGATGGAATAAGCGCGATGAGGTTTGAGGCAGCGCAAATTCACTTTTTAAGTGACGTTTTCGACAAAAAACACCGTCGCACAGAACATGTTTTCTGTCGTGGCTGGAAATCATGCATTGCGCGTGCAACCTACAGATTAGTCAGTTACCTGCTACCGTAGGTTGCGTAGTCTCAGCTGTCGCAATAGTCGCAGCTGTTTTTAGGGTAGTCACTGGGAACGAGCGTTGCGTGACGACCCTAAAAACGGTTGCGAAAGAGATTATAGGTTGCGCTGATTTCCAAAATTAACTGTAGGCTCTTAGCCAATGTACTGTATACACTCAATTCTCTCGTAAGCGACCACCCTTGGTATACGAACCTTGGTCGCTTACGGGAAGTGGTCGTCTATGGGAAAAATCAAGACAATAAGTCAATCCCTTTTAAGGATTTTTAATCCCTTTTTAAGAATTTTTAATCCCTTTTTAAGGAAGAAAAAATTTAGAAGAGCAGGAGTAAGAATCGAACCCGGAGTGCTGTATACTACTACGCCGATGAGGATTTCTGGCTAGCACTGGTTTGATTTAAAGCTATATATCAACAAGCTTAACCCTAAATAGAAGCTAACCGTTTGGAGTCAGTGCTTAACCCTAATCACTATTTTCAGGGCTTAACCCTTATCACCAGTTATCACCATAGTCAGTGCTTAACCGTAATCACTATAGTCAGTGCTCAAAACCAAAGCGATAAGGAATACTAGGTTGTGTAAACTTCATAAGGTGTCCAAGGGAGTTTTGGCCGATGGGATCTAATGTTAACAAACACCAATATGGCCGCGTGACGTCATGTGAAAACGCTCTATAGGCTCAATAGCAAGCCGCTGTTTGGGAAATGAGCCCGCGATCCTCTCTTGAGGAGGAACAAAGAGCAACGGAAACGGAGCCTATTAAGTTACTTATCATGCTTATAGAATGAGAAATTGGCTTAGTCAACGTTGTGCGAAGTCCTTTTTTTGTGCAATCCTTCCGCTAGCGAAAAGACCGGATACCAGTCAAACAGATAGCCAAGCATAATATTTACTACACCATTTTGCGCAATTTAGTTTCAGGTTTCCATTAGAATAACGGATGATTTAAGAAGCCGATAATGTTGTGAATAATAATAATAGCTGATAATGATGATCAAGGACATGATGATGATGATGTTGACAACAAATAAATATTGGATGTGGTTTTTGTGATATCCGGAATAATCAAGGTCGAGGTAAAATAAAATGTTATCAGCCGAGCCAAAAGGCCGGAACTGATAACACTTACCGAGACCCTGATTATTCCGGATATCACAAAAACCGAACCTAATAATTGTTTTATTATACATTGTTTTGAAGAAACTAACGACAAACACACCGTCGTACGGAACATGGTTTCTGTCGTGGTTGGAAATCATGCATTGTGCGCGCAATCTGCAGATTAGTCAGTTATCTGCTTACAGATAACAAACTAATCCGTAGGTTGCACTGATTTCCAAAATTAACTGTAGGCTCTTAGCCAATGAGAAGACAGATAATGAGTATAATGTATAATAATAATGATTATGATTATAATGATAATCAAGATGACGATAACGATGATGATGGTTATGATGGTGATGACGATGACCACGCTACTGATGATGAGGAGGAGGAGGAGGAGGAGGAGGAGGAGGATAACGATGATGAGTGTCCATCTAAGAGAGATGTTGGCTTTACTGAAAGTAAGAGTACAGCACTGAAGAAAGGAAAGGACCATGACCAGATGCCTAGACTTACCTCCTAGAAGTCTGTCTTATAGAGAGTTGACGGTAGTTGTAAATATTTGTAAAATAATGTAAATAATCATTTACGACAAAGTTGAGCCTGCTTATTGCCAACGAGCAGCCTCGCGAGGGGGCAGCATAATAAAGCCGTGCGCGAAAGTTCCAAGGCAGAATGAATCTCGAAGCGATGTAACGTAAGGTAGTGTAAGGTAACTTTTATGACGTAATGAAGAACAGAGAATGCATTGTTTTCCAGCGAACACGCACGCGAAAGTTCCAAGGCAGAATGGGTCTCGAAGCGACGTAACAGAAGGTAGTGTAAGGTAACTTTTATGACGTAATGAAGAACAGAGAATGCATTGTTTTCCAGCGAACACGCACGCGAAAGTTCCAAGGCAGAATGGGTCTCGAAGCGACGTAACAGAAGGTAGTGTAAGGTAACTTTTATGACGTGATGCAGAACAGAGATGTCTAGACTTCCTAGAAGTTTGTCTAATAGAGAGTTGACTGTAGTAACGTTGTAAATATTTGTAAAATAATGTAAATAATCATTTACGACAAAGTTGAGCCTGCTTAATGCCAACGAGCAGCCTCGCGAGAGGGCAGCATAATAAAGCCGTGCGCAAAAGTTCCAAGACAGAACGAATCTCGAAGCGATGTAACAGAAGGTAGTGTAAGGTAACTTTTACGACGTAATGAATCCGACACCAAAGACTTCTTGTCACAGTCCGGTTACTTGCACCCCTTTTAAGCATCGCAGACTGTGATCCGTTTGGCCAGTGCCACCCGCAAAAAGATCGCGGATCTGGGGACGATAATGCTTTGCGGACTTCCTCAAGTAATGAAAAATGTCCCGTGATCTCACATGAATCACGTGACAAAACATCGGGTAGAGCTAGTGCAAGAAGTGTTGTTCTCGAGTTTGTGTGGGGATTTCGACGACCGTTTATTTAGGAGTCAAAAATAGCAAACAATAACCATCAAAACTTCTCGAAGTCAGTCTCCGACATTAGCAGAAATAACTCTTACTTACAGAAAAAAAATTTTACGTGAATCTGTTAAATTCATATTTTTTTTATAACGAAACGTTAGCAGAAACAATTCTTGCTTAAGAGAGAGAAGTGACGACCGGAAATGCTACGTTCGCAGGCTAAGATTCGCAATTTGCACATCTCCCATAATACACCTCGTTTATCCCCATTGTTTTCTCTTGGGGCCACTGAAATACCCAGGAGAAATTAAAAACAGAGATTATGCAAACTTTTGAGGTGCCAAAAAAGTGTATTATGGGAGATGTAAAAATGGCGAATGAAATTTAAAACAGCGCGAATGAGTCACTTCCGTGACGTTTTCACTGATGACGCTTTGGTGGTTAAGTTTTAGACCGTATGATGTACCAACCACAACTTCATTCATAAATGTATCCGAATCACAATCGCTACAATAAGTTTTCGTTTCTTCATTTCGGTTTCTCGTGTGGAACGGGAAGCGACATATATCAGGTACCTGCAGAAGGTCAACAAAAGGTCGAGATTAGTTCACCGAAAGTGAAAGATATGTTTGAAAACACTTCCTGTCTGTTATTTCCTTTCGGGGAAGTACCTTTGACAATTATCTACACTGTACATTCACTTTCGTAAATAACGAATGAGAATTAAGCTGTTGCTCTGTCACAACATGGAAAACTCATGAATACAGCCAAAGCCAACTTTACGGACAACTGCTTAATACGGACACAGCATTGTCACGGACAGTTTGCTTTGTCCCTGGGGTGTGAGAAAGCCCTTAAATTTTCTCTTATCGGGGATAGAAGCGGAATCATTTGAATCTCGATATTCACGATTCCTGTCGTTTTTGCCTCAGTGATTCATGATTCCGACAAGAATTCAGATTTTGTCTTGGCATGGAGTTTTTTTGTCACTGAACATTAAGCACAAGGTTATTGGAGAAACAAGCGGAATGTCAGCCCCGATTACACGAATTATATAGAGGGGTCCAGGGGCATGTTCCCCGGGAAAATTTTTCAAAATTGGACTCTCGTAAAAGCCATATCCTGCATTCCCTGGATCGAACGCAATTAATTCATACGTGTATTTTGTTGAGCTTTTCTCAGAGTTTCGTTATTCACGATTCCCGAGCCGAAGTACAAAGATTCATGATTCCCAAGTTTTTAAAACAAAGATTCATGACTGTTAAATGTTTTGTAACTATGATTCATGATTCATGATTCCGCTTCTATCCCTGATTCTCTTAATTCAACCCCCCCGGACACCCCATTAATATGGACACTTTCTATGGCCCCCTCAGTGTCCGTGTTAACGGGGTTTGAACCCCCCGGACATCCCATTAATATGGATACTTTCTATGGCCCCCTCAGTGTCCGTGTTAACGGGGTTTGAACCCCCCCGGACACCCCATTAATATGGACACTTTCTATGGCCCCCTCAGTGTCCGTGTTAACGGGGTTTGAACTCCCCCCGGACACCCCATTAATATGGATACTTTCTATGGCTCCCTCAGTGTCCGTGTTAACGGGGTTTGAACCCCCCCGGACACCCCATTAATATGGACACTTTCTATGGCCCCCGTCAGTGTCCGTGTTAACGGGGTTTGAACCCCCCCCCCGGACATCCCATTACTATGGACACTTTCTATGGCCCCCTCAGTGTCCGTGTTAACGGGGTTTGAAGGTAACTTTTTAATACAAAATAAATAACACAACGCGACAATAGACAGTAACGCCTGATCGCTGTTTACCACTGAATATATTTTATCATGAATACCGTTTTTCAAGAAAGGATGAAAGGATAGGGGAGATTTTGATCAAGCATGTAAGGATATACAGTCAAAGACCGTTGATATGGGACGGCACTGAGGGGGCCATAGAGAGTGTCTGTTTTAACGGGGTGTCGGTATTAAGGGGGGTTGAATTGAGAGAAAATGTAAGGGTTTGTTTTGACAGGGACACGGCAAACTGTCCGTAATAATGAGGTGTCGGTATTAAGCAGGTGTCTGTAAAGCGGAGTTTGACTGCTTTGATAACAAACTACCTTTCCTTCTCCTAAGTCTTCCCATGGTACGGATAAGCGGTACAAATGTTTAATAAATAGCTTCAGGAAATAAAATGGTATTATAAAACTGAATATAGTCGGTAATAAATCAATGTATTACTTGAAGACGAGTGAAACTACTTGACTGGAAATCAAGGCTTATAAATTAGGTGAAGTTATAGTCAGCTTTACGATTTAAAGTTTCATAACATGACAACGCAAAATGATGATGATGATGATGATGATGATGATGATGATGATGATGATGATGATGATGATGATGATGATGATGATGATGATGATGATGATGATGATGATGATGATGACGATGACGACGACGATGGTGAAGACGACGACAACAACGACGAAGACCATGCGATGATAACTTCCGCACAGGCCACGTTCAGATCTATTCAGGACAACACTCAACCGGATGGTCGTATTCAAAATATTTATTTAACTTACTTATGAAATTAATCCTGGGTTCACACCATTGACAGAAAGTTCTTTGTTGTCTGATTTCTAAGAAATGTGCTCATCAAAACAAACGAAACGAACCAGTGGACGTCTTGGAAACTAATTCGGGAAAACCCCCTTCAAAACAAAGCAAGCCGGCACTGGCGCATTCATTGTTTCAGTGGGAGAGCCAAAATCGACAATGAATCGCTATCGTCAATTATCCGAAGAGGAAAGGAATTTTTCGATCAATTTCGATCAATCTGGGGAATCTGCGATTATTATAAGGCCACCCCACGTAGTGATAAATATACCGAACGCAGGAGCCCATAACGATGATCCCGATACAACAGAACGCAACGCCATGACGCTGCTACGCCGTTACACTCGCCTATACTTCTTCTTCGCCGGGCAGTGGTTTTGGCCTGCAGAAAATTTCATCAAAAGGCACAATCTGCCAAGAAAAGTATGTAGAATCGCATACGCCATTTGGCAGCTGATAGTTGCACTCATAATGTGGTGCTATTTCCTGTACTCGATGGGATTTTTCACACTGCGAACAATTGAGGAAGTCGATTGGCTGTGCCCGCTAACGGACATCAAGAACATGGCCCACGGTTTGTGCTGGATAGTAAATCAGCACACGGGACTCGTATTTTTCTTGTTCGGCAACTTTCAAAGTCTTCTGAAGCAGCTGAGCGTCACCAAGGAAGAGGTAAGTTTCCCGGAACGGGGAACTAAGGGAAGGAAGGAAACAGGGAAGAAGAGTAAGAGGATTGCCCGGGGTTTGTTCCTAGGGAAACGTAAATTACGCTTTACACGTTATTTTAACCTCTTTAGTGAAATTGTAATGTGTAACCGTCCAGCCTAAGGTTACTGAGCACGAAATTTGTGGTACTACTGTTGAATATGCTGCACAAGGAAATCTAACGATATTAAAGCAGTCGTGGTAAACACAGGTATTCCAAGCTCACGTTACGAGCGTGTTATGTAAATTAACTTTCTCACCAGAGAATCGGTGTCGCGTTACAAGCAACAGTTAAGAAATAAAATGTGAAATAAAATTCTGAGGTCTGCGAACGTTTAGACTGCAAAACAGTCCGTATTTTTGCGTATTCAAGTACGCGCGAGAAAAAAAAACAGTCTAGCGAACGTTAAATATCATAATTTCTACTTTTTTCTATGAAATAAAGAAAGAAGACGTACCTTTTATGTACTACTGTGTTTTTGGTGTGAATTTATCGATTTAGTCCGTTTTTTTGGCTGTTATGTTTGATCCCTTCGTATTATGAAGAGAGTGGCAGGGGTAAAACAATAACAGCTAAAAAAAACCCACTACTGTTGACTCCCGATAACTCAAACCCTCGCTAACTCGAACCGAAACCGATTTCCCCTGGATTTCCGTCATACACCCTCGATAATTCGAATCTCCCGCTAACTCGAAGTAGTTTTGTTTCCCCTCAGATCATTTCTATATAATTTTACCCTCGATAACTCGAGCCATGTTTTGAGCCCTTAAAAGTCGGGAAAAAACAGTCTACTGGTGTCCCAAACATTGAATTTTGAATTTCCCATTGACGTGTTGTAGGCATATAGTTTACTATTGGAGGCTGATGTTGTTTGTCACAAATCTAACGTCAAACAGCTTTACTTCTCAAAACAGTAAAACGCATGCTCTATTTAAGCAAGGTTTTGTTATGTTACGATTCTGATTTATAATCTAGAAGTATCTTTTAATTTTCACTTGACATTTCTACAATTAAATGTGATTAAAATGTTCACTGTACAGTTAAAACTGTTTTTTTCCTTACTCCCGGCTATTGTTTTCAAGCGCCCGATAATTCGAACTGGCGATAACTCGAACCTTTTTCGAGATTTCCCTGGAAGGTTCGAGTTATCGGGAGTCGACTGTAAATCGATAAATTCACACCAAAAACACAGTAGTACATAAAAGGTAAGACTCCTTTATTTATTTTATAGAAAAAAAGTAAAAATTATGATATTTAGCGTTCGCAGACGAGACCTCAGAATTTTATTTCTCATACAAAGTGTTAACTGTTGCTCGTAACGGGACACCGACTCTCTTGCGAGAAAGGTAATTTACATAACATGTTCGTAACGTGAGCTTGGGTAGGGACACCTGTGGTGTAACCATTCCAATGAATGCTACTGAGCAGTACTTTCCTGTGGTACTGTTTATTATGCTGTACAAGGTTGCTCTAACTTTTGAGTCTGTGGATGAAACCCTAATGTGTGACCATTCAAATGAAAGCTACTGAGCAGTACTTTCCTGTGGTACTGTTTATTATGCTGTACAAGGTGGTTCTAACTTATGAGTCTTTGGATGAAATCCTAAAGCTACTAAGCAGTACTTTCCTGTGGTACTGTTTATTATGCTGTACAAGATGGTTCTAACTGTTGAGTCTGTAGATGAAATCCTGTGGTCTGACCATTCAAATGAAAGCTACCAAGCAGTACTTTCCTGTGGTACTATTTATTATGCTGTACAAGGTGGTTCCAACTTTTGAGTCTGTGGACGAAATCCTAAAGTGTGACCATTCAAATGAAAGCTACTGGGCAATGCTTTCCTGTGGTACTGTTTATTATGCTGTACAAAGTGGTTCTAACTTTTGAGTCTGCGGATGAAATCCTAAAGTGTTACCATTCAAATGAAAGCTACTGGGCAATACTTTCCTGTGGTACTGTTTATTATCCTGTACAAAGATGACCTAGCTTTGAGTCTGTGGATGAAATCCTCAGCGCGACCATTCAAATAAAAGCTACCGAGTAGGACCTTCCGGAGAGACTGGTTCAACTGAAGGGACAACTGACTGGTTGTTACGTAGCATGCGAAAACAGCTGTTTCTCCTCGCTAAATGGCTGTGTTTGCAGGCTATTTATTACAACATTAAGAGGGTTCTAGCCTTTCAAAGAACTCATCCACTATTGAAACATTCTTGTACTGTTGACGTTTTGAAACACGAAATTAAACGCAAGACGTTTTCTATACTTAACGTCAGTCTTTCTAAATCATTTCTGTAATCTTTAGGTGAGGAGAAGAGCTTCGTCCCACTCGATCTCCGTGTTCGTGGTAAATTCTGTGCTTTGGCTATTTGTCGTTCCAATAAGTTTGCATGCCACGCAAATGTTAATACCAGATTTTTTGGAAGGGCCAAGATACAGAGACGGAAAGATCACGGGGACCAGTAATATCACCTTCCCAGCGACACAAATAGCTTTTGATGTTTTCTTTTACGCAGCCAGTCGCGGTTTTTCGCTGCCCATTTTCTTCGCATTTCTTTACATGATGTTGTTTCTGTGTTGCGAAGTGGACAAATTCAAAGACGAGCTTGGAGATGGTCTCTATCCAACCGAAGATAAAGCCAAGAAAAAAGCCATAAAAATAAGAACACTGATCAAGGAGACTGAGAAGGCTTTCCGTTTTTTCCTCTCCTTGTATATAGCCATGATTTTATTGGCTTCAGCACTGGAAATATTCTCCATCGTGGAAAAAGCTGAAACCGTGATAATAGCAAACCACACCGTTTATGAAATACCTGGCAGCGCTGCAGCAGCCAGCCTGCAAACTTTAAATGTTGGGTCGAAAAATTTGATGCCTTTTCCGCACAGGTAGGACTCTAATTGTAAATCTCATTACAATTCCGTCTCAGTGGGTTCCAGTCCTCGCTCCTACTTTTAAAAACTTCCGCGCCGGTCCGAATCGCTGCACCAAAGTGCAGACCGTTCGCTCCGTTCTCCTCGCGCCGAAATCACCGTTCTTGCCGTGCGACGAGAAGCCGTATCCGGTTTGATTTTAGTGGCGGCGCAAAAGCTTTTCTGTATAGTGTGAACATAGCCTAATTTATAGTTCTAACAGCACTTTGTTTTGTTCATAATTATGTTTGTTCGCAAAATCATAACAGTTTTCAAGATCTTTCTAATCTTATGCAATGTGCGTCAAAATTCGGTCGAATTCGGTAAAAGTTCCATTCAATAATTAGCTGATATTATTTAGTTCTAAACCTCCAATACTGCATTTTCAGCTTATTCACTGGTACACACTGTATCTCAGCCATCATTTCTGCGTTTGAACCTATAATATTATCAAATGGGCGACAGCCTGAATCCTGTACAACTTAAGACGACCCTGAGTAAAATGTAACAAAAACTGGGTTTAAAGCGAAGCTTGAGAATTCAATGACACAGTTATTCTATTCGCCCTTGTTGGATAAGAGATTGGCCTTTTAGCCAGCTCGGCGTGCGGTCTTCTGGAGAAGAAGGAGTAAAGCTCATTACAACTTATTAAACCTGAAAACCCTTTGAAAACAAAAAGTACAACAGAAAAGCTATCTTGATCTTTCTTCAATCTTAAATCTGTTAAATCGGTTAATTGCCAATAGCATGGCTAATCGTGGCAATGGGTGGTATAATTAGGCAGTAGGTGATGACAGATGGCTGTTGGCTGTGGACTTAAACACGACCAAAGCCAGTAAATGGAAGACCGTTCAACACATGTATACACCGGGCAAAAACAGAATGCATGTAGTGATCAAAGGTTAAAGGTTGCATGTCGCACTATGGGACTTCCTGGTACAATCCCATGTGTCCTATCTTCCTTTTTTCCCTGGGAATATTAACAATAGAAATGAAGGGGGAAATAAAGTTCTCATGCAAGGATTTAAACTAATTAACAAAACATTTAAGTGAGGAATGCTTAGTTCCCCTGAATTAAAGCTCATATTAGTACTAACAAGTTACCATGTGAACTCCCGTTCACAGGTTGACGGGAAATCGCCCAATTCCGTATTATCTGGTTATGATTCCTCCCTCAAATCACACCGTGGGAATGTCTGCAGGTGAAGACTACACCCGTAAGAATTTTATCGATCAGTACAAGATCACGACGCAAGAGATCGTGGTAACAGCTGTACTGGACATAACAGAAAACATGGTACTGTACGCCGTTCCACTCTACCAGATGTCTGTTCTCAAAAGTTGCTTGAAAAGAGTACTGGAGATGGTGGAAGACAGCGATTATGGAGCACCGGAAACCCACTTGGACGGAACTACATCTGGCGATAATGCAGCACAAGGGACCCACTCAGAACATACGGCTTCTTGGGAGGAAACACCTAAAACGATATTTAGAACAAGACAAGAGAAGAAAGACTTCACGAATTGGTACCGCACTACGTGTACTTCTGGTGTTAAAGTTCTTGGTAGAGAAGTGAGTTTTCTCTGGACCTTGGTGTTGACTTTCTTTGGTCCCTTTGTTGTGGTGGTGGTGAATTTGATGTTTAAGCACATTCACGTCGAATCTCCGTGGCATTAACAAGTTAACAAGGAACTTGTTCACTGTCACCTGCGCAATGTAGTTTTTCCTAACTGATTATAGGTTAAACGATTGCCGGTCATTTCGCTACGCAGCTCAGTTGATTTCGAATTTCGCTCTACAGTTGTATTTTGAAATTGATGCACGCCGTGATGGTATTACAACCCAGTTTGTTCCTTACACAAATACTGTGATGCACAAAAGAGGGCACAACTTTTCAGGCCAATTTCAGTACTTAGGCAGCGTTTTCACTCACGTGGCCAGTATCTATGCAAATTTATTGGAACAAAAGAAAGCGTTTATATACGAAAAGAGTTAAACTCCCCCAGGACTGGTTTGGAACACCAGCATGGCTGCCGTTTTATTGTTTTGGGAGACCAATCTGCTTAAACCCCCTGGGGAGACCTTATAAAATTTACCCAACGTCGTATTCTTTATTGCTTCTACACTACACTTAGATGAAATTTCAAAGTTCTTTAACATTTCTGCTCAGAAAATGTTCATGAAAGTGTAAGTCTCTTCAATTTTTAAGGAAGAAAAAAAATTTAGAAGAGCAGGAGTAAGAATCGAACCCGGAGTGCTGTATACTACTACGCCGATGAGGATTTCTGGCTAGCACTGGTTTGATTTAAAGCTATATATCAACAAGCTTAACCCTAAATAGAAGCTAACCGTTTGGAGTCAGTGCTTAACCCTAATCACTATTTTCAGGGCTTAACCCTTATCACCAGTTATCACCATAGTCAGTGCTTAACCGTAATCACTATAGTCAGTGCTCAAAACCAAAGCGATAAGGAATACTAGGTTGTGTAAACTTCATAAGGTGTCCAAGGGAGTTTTGGCCGATGGGATCTAATGTTAACAAACACCAATATGGCCGCGTGACGTCATGTGAAAACGCTCTATAGGCTCAATAGCAAGCCGCTGTTTGGGAAATGAGCCCGCGATCCTCTCTTGAGGAGGAACAAAGAGCAACGGAAACGGAGCCTATTAAGTTACTTATCATGCTTATAGAATGAGAAATTGGCTTAGTCAACGTTGTGCGAAGTCCTTTTTTTGTGCAATCCTTCCGCTAGCGAAAAGACCGGATACCAGTCAAACAGATAGCCAAGCATAATATTTACTACACCATTTTGCGCAATTTAGTTTCAGGTTTCCATTAGAATAACGGATGATTTAAGAAGCCGATAATGTTGTGAATAATAATAATAGCTGATAATGATGATCAAGGACATGATGATGATGATGTTGACAACAAATAAATATTGGATGTGGTTTTTGTGATATCCGGAATAATCAAGGTCGAGGTAAAATAAAATGTTATCAGCCGAGCCAAAAGGCCGGAACTGATAACACTTACCGAGACCCTGATTATTCCGGATATCACAAAAACCGAACCTAATAATTGTTTTATTATACATTGTTTTGAAGAAACTAACGACAAACACACCGTCGCACGGAACATGGTTTCTGTCGTGGTTGGAAATCATGCATTGTGCGCGCAATCTGCAGATTAGTCAGTTATCTGCTTACAGATAACAAACTAATCCGTAGGTTGCACTGATTTCCAAAATTAACTGTAGGCTCTTAGCCAATGAGAAGACAGATAATGAGTATAATGTATAATAATAATGATTATGATTATAATGATAATCAAGATGACGATAACGATGATGATGGTTATGATGGTGATGACGATGACCACGCTACTGATGATGAGGAGGAGGAGGAGGAGGAGGAGGAGGAGGATAACGATGATGAGTGTCCATCTAAGAGAGATGTTGGCTTTACTGAAAGTAAGAGTACAGCACTGAAGAAAGGAAAGGACCATGACCAGATGCCTAGACTTACCTCCTAGAAGTCTGTCTTATAGAGAGTTGACGGTAGTTGTAAATATTTGTAAAATAATGTAAATAATCATTTACGACAAAGTTGAGCCTGCTTATTGCCAACGAGCAGCCTCGCGAGGGGGCAGCATAATAAAGCCGTGCGCGAAAGTTCCAAGGCAGAATGAATCTCGAAGCGATGTAACGTAAGGTAGTGTAAGGTAACTTTTATGACGTAATGAAGAACAGAGAATGCATTGTTTTCCAGCGAACACGCACGCGAAAGTTCCAAGGCAGAATGGGTCTCGAAGCGACGTAACAGAAGGTAGTGTAAGGTAACTTTTATGACGTAATGAAGAACAGAGAATGCATTGTTTTCCAGCGAACACGCACGCGAAAGTTCCAAGGCAGAATGGGTCTCGAAGCGACGTAACAGAAGGTAGTGTAAGGTAACTTTTATGACGTGATGCAGAACAGAGAGCGCATTGTTTTCTAGCGAACACGCACGCGAAAGTTCCAAGGCAGAATGGGTCTCGAAGCGATGTAACGTAAGGTAGTGTAAGATAACTTTTATGACGTAATGAAGAACAGAGAATGCATTGTGTTCCAGTAAACACTTAGGCGCAAGTTCCAAGGCATTCGAAAGGCAGAATGGGTCTCGAAGCGATGTAACAGAAGGTAGTGTAAGGTAACTTTTATGACGTAATGAATCACCGTAATTCATCAGATTTCTAAACAAATTGAACAGCGCGCGCGTATAGGTAAAATCTTTGCTCGTTGGCAGTTAAGAGATCCCTATAACTAGTGGCTATACCAGTCCCTAACGTAAGTCATGACTACGGAGACTAAATAATCTCCAAATAACAAACTGCTAATGTAGAAAAATAATTTGCTTGTCTTAAAATGAAGTCTTGTTTTCACCTTTTTTACCTTGTACATAATTTGTCCCTCAGTTATATAACCTCATTTATAGTACAGATATTTTAAAAATGACAGTGTTTGAAGTGGGTAGCTAAGGTTTTTCCTATGTTTTTTGTTTGTTTACTTGGTTTTTGTTTCAGTGTAATAAAAGAGCGTACAATAAAGGTGGTTTTTTTTATCTGATCTTTTATCCCCAATCTATTAGAAGTAATCTTTAATTACTCTGTACAGAGTGAGCCTTTACACGGCGAGCTCAAACTTAGTGAGGAGAGTGCACGCCCGCGCGAGTGTCAAGCAGCAAAGCCGCGAGACGCAAGAAACGAGGGGGGCCTAAGAAAGAGGCCATCTCTTGCTTTCAGAATAATACCCTTGGTCATTTTCGTCTCTCGCGCGTTCCGCTTGACGGACCAAGAAAAAAGAGAGAGACTGCTCGTAGTCGAGGAAGCCTGCAAATGTAGATGCGAGCAAGCTCTCCTATTTGGGCGAGCGAAGCGAGCCGCGAGGAGCCGAGGAAAGGAGATCCTTTCTCTCCCCCGCCTCCCGCTTTCGCGTCTCCTCTCGCGTGCCTCTCGCGCGTCCACTTTTCACGATATCCCCCAAGTGGAGAGTTGCTCGCACGCTACTGCAAATGTAACTGTACTTCCAAGTGTCACTTCTCTTCATCCGACAATGGTGTCTACTTATGAACACTAACAGACGGTCGTAAGAGTGAAGTGTCGAATTTTCACTATGCAAAATACATTTTCAACAGCGGGCCTTGCTGAGAGACATTTTACTCACCAGTGACAATTAGAAAAGATCTTTCTGCAACTCGTCTAGCAGGACCCATATTGGATGGACCTCTGGAAATCTCAGACTCAAGTGGTACATTACCAGGACAGGGCACCCAAGATTTAGCATCATCAGGTTTGCAGAGTGAAAAATAACACTCTTCGCTTGCTGTGAGTTTAGAAAATAATACGAATAGGGTTCGTACACTTCTTCTGATGTAAAAGAACTTTTCCAAAGTTACTTTTCCAAAATGAATGAAAGAGGATTTCAAGGACTTTGAAGGAACTAAAAAAGGGCTCTAGAAATTCAAGGGTTTTCAAGGGTTTTCAAGACGCATACGAACCCTGTATGTACATAAAGTGGAAGTTCAAAATGAATTTCGGGTTAAAATGGTTTCAGTGGCCTAATTCAGCGATCGTCAAACGGGCAACATAAACGTGCAACTTGTTTTGCAACATTGCTTCCAAAAAGAGTTGAAATAGCCCGCGTAGCAAGCGTTTCCAATCGAGTTATTGCGCGAAACCTAGAGCAGGAGCAAAAAAAAAAACGGTGGAGGGGGGAGGGGGAGGGGAGAAGAGGAAACCCCTCCCCCTCCCCTGTCATTCCTTTTTTTTTTGCTCTCATCCCAACTTTCTCGACTAACTCGCGCGGAAACGCTTGCTACGCAGGCTAGAGTTGAAAAGCCATGTTGCATATTTTACCAGCCACGTTCAAACCTGTCTGCAACAAATCAGGTTGTTACAAGTGGCGTGAATACTGACTTCTGATTTGGTAAAATTATGCTGGAGTCACGCAATACATGGGAGTTAAATCACTTGCTGCAAAGCTAGTCATGTCCGGTGAAAGTACCCCTGAAAATCAACTACTCATGGGTCTCTTGTGCAACCATTTCTTCTTGCATTTCCTGTGTAAGACTTGCATATGTAACAAAATGCATAATTTGCAAGCTTGATGGGTCAACCATGCTTGATAGGCTTTGTTTCTGTAAGCCAGGCCAAATTGTCTCACACTGAAGCTCCAATAGAAAAAATGAAGAGAGCCCAGTTCTCTGAACCTGTGAAATCCAGGGTGCCCAGCACATGATATTTATGAAAATTCTAAGATTTTCTAGTTGCCCTGGAGGAAATTAGGTGCCAGGGGCCACTGGGGGCTGCTAAAGCACAGCCTTGATGCAGGCCCAAAAATTGGGGAGATTGGAAACTTCTTATCAATACCGTTTACTAGATTCTTTGACTTATTTTTTCTATAAAAATAAACCTTGTATTTTTTACCCATCGAGTACACCTCATTGAGTCTTCATTGCTTCAATAACAGTAAAGTGAACACTTACTAAGATCTTTCTCCATTACCACTTGATTGCCATCAATTTGAACTGACCGTTCTTGCCACATAACAGGAGAGATAGCAGGCTCTTTGAGGCAGAGCCTAGCTACATTTTCAGTGGTCATGACGACATGATTAGAATCAAAGTGGATGTCAACTGTACTTGAACGGAAAGGGACATTCTGTTGCATAATACGTACACCTCTTAATCCTGGGGAAAAAGGAGTGATCAGAATCAATTTTCTCTAAACAATATCAATATAAAATCAAGAACTAGAGGTTGCGAGAATTTATAAAATGATCACCATGTGAGAGGAATATTCTTTGATCTTTTATCAAATTCTCTCAACAAATTCTTTAAGAGATGTAGGAAGATTAGTCTGGAGAATTTATTTGTAGATGTCAAGCCTTAAGAATTCTAGAAAGTTATCAACTTCTTCTTCTTCTATATAAATCAAACACTTGAAACAGTCTTTCATCCTATTTTAGACACCTTTAACCCCTTCACTGCCAGAGTACTTGATGGAGTTTTGTAAGGCGACTCTAACTTTTGAGTCTGCAGACAAAATCCTATGATGTGACCATTCAAATGAAAGCTCTCTGCATGTACTGTCACATGATGCTATTTGTTTGTCAAAATTTTGGAAAATGAAATGTGGAAAGTTGGTCGAAATTTGCCTTTGGCCACATTTGGCAGTGAAAGAGTTAAGATGGTCTAAAACGGTTTTAGCAGTATCTCATTATTTTAACCCAGCTCATGGTGTCTGGATTTTGGCCAAAGATATGAAGATTTTTTTCATTTGATAATTAAACTATAAGACCAAAAAAAATTAACCCTATTCAGCATCATACATGGTCTATCCTTCATCACCTCTTTACCTGTACTTGCGACTGGATTGTAGACAGTAAGTTGGAACTTTCCATTCCCTGCAATGTTTCTATCTGCTGTTCCTTTTGTAGATTTGTATTTCTCAGTTCCACCAGAATCACTACATTCCCCATTTCTATCTGAGTGGCAAGCTGAAACATCAACGGTGTGATGGAATAAAATTTAATAATAAGTGCTAAAAGCAAGACAAATGTTACTTCTGGATTTCCACCGCAAAACTGTTTTAAGGGTGGATTGGCTGCAAGACAGGGCTCAAAAAGAACGTTAGGTCACAGAGTCCAGCTAGATTTTGTTGTCACGCAAAAGCCAGTGCAAGTCACCAGAGACCACTGGGGGCTGCAAGATTATAATTATACTGATTTAGCTACAGAATGGGAATGTCAGTTGACGATGGCTTGCACAAATCAAACAACTGGCTTGACCGATGGCAGAGTAGCAAATTGCACACTGGAATAAGTTGTGTTTAGTCCTTTCCGCACGCTTTCCTGTTGTTGACTGACATTCCCATTCTGTTGCTAAATCAGCCTAATATTAACCCAAACTGCCAGGATCATTTCTCATTCCTACTCCCAGTCTGTGGTCACTTGTTCTTGTAAGACTGATTTGTAAGAATTTAAACTAGAAATCAAAAACAAGAATCTCCAATCACTTACACTTTAGGGTGGTTACAGCATAGAATAAATCTGGACAACAAACTGCATTTCACACTAAATTTTGACAATTAGTAAAAATGGATATTTCCTGCAACTAAAAAACAATTATATTAACACAAGAAAACGTTCATGTTCTTACTCGGTGCTGAAGCATATTTTCCAGCATTCTTGGCATGGCTAACAGCAAACTTCCTCATGACAGGGTCATTAACAACACCTCCGTCATTGGTCTTGTATGTATCCCACCACCAGTGCTCCTTATTAGGTAACTCTGAGTAGGAAACATTGGTTCTTTGTTGCCTTAGGAGTCGGAACATGCGGCGACTGTAGTAAGGGTGCACTGTTTTATCAGCTGCACCAATGCGTATCATAATTGGTATTCCCTACATGACAAATTGACAGTACTAATGAGGTTTTATAGACGTATGTCAAACCTTTCCACAAAAGCTACTTTAGACGGGAGCAGAGATAAATGGTTGTTTATTAAAGCATATTACTTCTTTAACTGGGCTCGATTATCAGCCACTGTTCGGGAAATGAGCCCACACTCATCCCCCTGAAAGAGCCCTCTCTGAGAAACAAAGATGTTTGATTATAACACATAATTAAGATTAAAAAAAACACTTAGCAGCTTTCACTTGAATAGTGACACACTATGGAATTTTATCCAGAGCCATCCAGAGTTAGTCACCTCAGTAGCTTTCATTCAAATAGCTATCTAGTCACCGTAGATTCTCTAGGAAATGTTACTGATTGTAACTGTAGTTATAAAATAACTAAGATAGTACGCGCGCTCTGATTGGCCGAGAGGAGTGTTTGCATGAGAGCATGTAAACATGGTTGTGGCGTCAAGATGTTTTGCTTTTAGTGAACAAATCACGCAAGCACGAATTTCAAAAAGTTTTTGAGTTCAAAACTCCACAAGTTTACTCAACTTTGTCTCGGGTTTGCATAACTGTCTCGAATTCTCCCAACCCCTCTCGTGTTTATATCAGGCTATGCAAACACGGAAAACGTTTACTATTGCTTAATTGTTAATCCTAGATGTGTGTTAAGGATAACTTCATAATTATCTCACAATTGAGGAAAAATGTAACTAGCCACTGACTACATTATACAGGCTGCTGTACTTACATGTAAATTTGACACATGTTTGTCTGGGTCATTTTCTGCAACGCAAGCCTCCAAAATGGCTTTAACAGCTGGCGAGGTGTGACTTGTACTGATATCATGGCGAAAAAACAAGTTAGAATCACCATAATCTTCTTTTTTGATCCAACCAGCTGCAGACACTAGAGCCAGGGCATGGTCAGGATAGTGGGTACCAAGATGCCTAATGAGGGAACACATCTGTAATATTATAATGAAGTTTGAAAACATGACAACATCACTTTCAAAGAAATAATGAATTGTACCAAAACTATACTTTTCCACCGAGGAAGACACAAAAATTTTGGTTTTATCAAATGACTTTAAATGAAAAAAATTCAAACAATGAATTTTGCATAGGCCATTATTTTGTTAGGACTAGAGAAAAATAAGTTAAGAATAATATTATAGTCATGGCAAAATAATGGAATAGATGGGATGATAACTACCCCAAAATACTAGTCCAGTAATAAAATAGGTATCTGCTGTCTTGACTAAACTGTCCTAAATGACCATTTCTAAGCAACCACCTAAGTAGCCACTACAGTGTAGGTCTTAGCATTTTGGGCAGTCACTCACAGGACACCACTGTATTCCCTAAAACAAACAGGGTTGTCACTAGCAAAGGGCTGGGAGCCAAGGATTTGCCACCAGCAACAATGAGCAACACCTCTAGCTAAATTTCATGAAAAACCAACGGAAAATACACGGAAACCTAAATTCAAGGCTTTTCAATTTCCTGCCTGATTGCTCATACACAGCAACTTGAAATCTTCATGACAGCCCTGACGGGGTATATATTTTCAAATACATAAATTCTTTGCACATATTGACCGTCAGATATTAAAACAAAATTAAATGCACAAAAACTGAATACAATCAATGTTGTATTAAACAAAAAATTTACCATGCCCCATGCCCACCCATGGAGTGTCCAGCAAAGATGACGCGGTCAACATCTACTTGGGGGCCAATCCAAGGAGCATCTTTTACAAGTTTGGATAAGCTCTTTAGGGCCATCATTGCTGTTAGCTCTCCTGGCCCTTCCCAGTTATGAGCCCCATGCCTGGTAGGAGCCAGAAGCCAAAGATGTTCAATGCCAAACACCCACTTGCCTTTCTCCATTCGCTTGTAACTGTCTGCTTGATTCTGAGGAGGGACAGCTAAAGAAAATAATAAAAACAGTAGTAAGTTTTCAAGAATAGAGTGAAAAAGTGATTACATGACAAAGATTAACTTAAGAGAGATCATGGGACCTGTTGGGATAATCAGAAAGGGCAAGACTAAAAATGCCTTGTTACCAAAAATTATCAGTATGCTAGACAATTGGTGGTAAGATATTAGCAATCTGTAGGTTGCATGTGCAATGCATGATTGCCAATAAAAATATCAATTCACGTTCCTAGCGACAGTTTGATTGTTGTTATATTCTTCAAAACAATGTATAACAAAACAGTTATTAGATAATTTGGTTTTTGTGATCCAGAATAATCAAGGTCTTGGTAAGTGTTATCAGCCGAGCCATAGTGTAGTCAGCTGATAACACTTACCTTGACCTTGATTATTCCAGATGTCACAAAAACTTCATCCAATAATAATTATTGGAAAATATTAATATTAATTAATTATTGTTAATTATCATTTGAAGCAAATTTTTCTTTCTTTTCATTGGCTGAGAGCCCACCACGTGACCTGCAAATAACTGCCTACAATTAATGGTCTGCTCATGTGCAATGCTATCCAACAGTGTTTGACTGCAAATAATATTCTGCTCATGCGTAAAGGAAGCTGTGCTTTTCTCCTTCTTGCGATCGCTCTTGCTTGAAAATGGCAGATTACTTCGCTTCCCAAAGATATTCATTAAAAAAACAAACTCGGTGATCGAATGATAAAACAATTATTGAACTTAGTTATCGCAAAATATCATGATTTGTCAGTGTCCCACAGATCAATTATTATTTGATCTGCTCGCCACAGACAAATCACGATATGTTACTCAACCTCATCCAATAATATTGTTAACTATTTTGCATGTACATGGACCTATAAGCAGAGTGACCTAATATATCCGCAGCTGGGTTGTAATATTAAAAGAACCAAGAATTTCACACTATATTGACAGAAATAATTTATATATATGCACATACATGTGCATGAACTATACTGATACCATACTTGTTCCATGTAGAGTCAATAAAACAGGACAAATTCCAGAATCACATCCTTTCAAAGGAGCAATTGCCGCACCATGCTGAACAGAGCCATCATGATCCAAAAAGGTGAACAAAAATGATTCACTGAGTCTACGAGACCTCAGGTTTATTGCCAACTTTTGATCCTGGCCTTTACTGGTGCTTATCTTCAAGATCAATTCTATTTCAGAACAAACACTTTCGTCACTTTTTGTTTCCTTCCTATTCTTGTACTCCAAAAGTATTTTGATTGGTCGTACTTGTCCTGGAGCTATCGAAAAATCCTTGTCTTCCTGTAAGATCTTCATAGTAAACTGATGTCCAGGGCAAGAATTTTTCACGATTGAAACTTTGGTTACTTTTAGCCATAAAGCACCATGGAAATTGTTGACGGAGAAGGTTATATGTTTAGAAAAGAGCTTGCCTTCGACCAGTTCTGGTAAAAATGCTGGAGCTAACACCTGAAAGGTCTGTTTTGCTTCCAGGGGTTTTATGTTGCAAGTAAAAGTGAAGGGTCCTTTATGTCTGATGTGAAGGTATAATGTGTGAATCCCCCTGGAGAGTTGAACAGATGACCTGGTAAAGCAAAAGTACAGTAAGGGAATGAAAGAAGCTGTGTCACAAAATTCAGCCATAATAGGTAATTACAAAATGCCAGTTAAATTAAGAGAAACATAAAAATAACCACTTAAAACATTAAAGGAAGGTTAATTAAAATAACACAACAGATACAACCGATTCCACAGATGGGCAAAACTGAAGAAGCTTGTAAGAGATTGAAATTAGGGTTTTTGAAAACAGTGTTCAGCCTAATGTTTTTCAAAGTTTATCGCTGCTGTTTGTAATTTCAAAAATAATGCTCAGGAGACATATTTGTTTGTGTCGAATTTCTGATTTTGTCGTTTACATGAAATTTCTTTGCTTACTTTAAGTTCCATAGCGATTGAAGGCGAGTAATTGGCAAAATTTAACAAAATGAACAGGACTGCCATGACAAAGCCCCTTTAATTGACCTCGCATCTACTGATGAATTAAACATTCTAAAAGCAAAGAAGTGGAGCACATCATAATTAATTGCATACAGCTATTTTGAGAAAGGCTGTTGGGAAAAAATGCACACACGACAATCCGAAAGGTAATATGGGATATGATCAATACACTGTTCCTAACGACTGTAGCTGTCGAACCTCCTTTTGTTGCTTTCCATTAGTACTAGATCAAACATATGTCCATGGCCTCCAGTGCGATTCTTTCAAATTTCTTTGAAGAACAGTGCTCTCCAAACCACCCTCAATGCCTTTCGGGATTGTCATGTGCCCTTTTTCCGACAAACTTTCTCAAAATAGCTGTATGCATTTGCATTTTATATTTGCCACCTGAAACTCACATATTAGCTGATTAAATATGTTAGATACAATGTTATTAATTTTAAAATTATGCAACTGGATTTGGAAGAACACCAAATTTCTTGATGGGATACGGGATTTGGCCCCTACTCTACTGGAGAGCAAAGGATGGCGCACTGGTGAGAGCGCTTGCCTCCCACCAATGTGGTCCAGGTTCCTGGTGTCGATGCCATATGTGAGTTGAGGTTGTTGTTGGTTCTCTCCTTTTCTCTGAGAGGTTTTTCTCCAGGTACTCTGGTTTTCCCCTCTCCTCAAAGACCAACATTTTCACATGTGCTATCTCCAAACCATATTTATTTATTTATTTATTTATTTATTTATTTACTTATTTACTCGAGAAGCGAGATTGACCAAAATATTGACATGGATTAGGATCCTGTACAGTAACAGAAGCTCAGGGTGTGGTCTTGTCATGACACACCACCCCCCCCCCCCGGCCCCGTGCACTCCAAGCACTGGAACTTACCAGAACTGATCTCTTCTATAAACATCTCCTGTTATCATTGCTTGATCAACGTAAACAGTATGGACTCCAAGACACTGAATCACAACTGTTACATCTTCTTCATTCACAAAAAAATCCCCCATAGCCCATCCTTGCCATTCAGTGACACCCAGTGATTGTAACGACATCACCAACTCATTCCAATTAACATTTGGCACAATAGCCACTGGTTCAGAAGCTCTGTGTTGGTTTATTTCCATCCATGTTATCTCTCCTTGAGAAACCAACTCTGAGTATAGCACAAACTTTTTCTCCCATCTGAACATTGAGACATTTTTCACCCCACCCCATTCCTCCAAGGGATCACCATCTACTTCCGGCTTTCCGATTATGAATGGCCCGATAAAATGCCACGTTTGTATGAATTTAGATAGCTTTCCGCCGTGTTTTGTGGCTTCCTTAAAACATGTGTTTGCAGCCTTTGTCTTTCCGAGTACATTAAATGATTCGCCGAGCATACTCCAAAGGAAAGCGTCGCTCGAGGCTTGTAATGCTTTTAAAAGGCAAACTGTGAGCTGGTCCATTGAATTCTTGGCCCGTAATTTCATGATATGTTCCTTCTTTGTGCTTTTGCAAGAAACATGAGACCATTGTTGGCTTTCCTTTTCCAAGAAGTTTGCAGTTGAAGACGAACTCTTTGATTTTGTAGAAAAAGAACAATCAATCAAAAATAGCACAGTCAAAACGTAGATAAATAGCCTGCAGGCTCTATTTAGCGACATTGTCAACGTGGAGGTATTTTTGACATATTCTTCTTTCCAGCCACCGAACGGAAAGATTTCAACAAGGCGTTACAGGCAAGTGTTGCAGGTCAGTGCAAACAAAAGCCGAGGACTGGTCACTAGCCTTTTTCTATGGGAGGAGTGGCTGGGGTAGGCCATCCCATTGTGTAGAACTTCAAGAGTACTTTTAGCTAAGCAGTAGTAACCATTTCATAGCTATAACTTGCATTAATGTTAAGCAATGAAACTTGTGGTTTTGAAGTCAAAAAAATATTTTCCTTCCTCGTCTTTCACTGCCTAATGGTTATTTCTCCTATGAGAGGGGAGGGTAGAAAACCTTGTAATCAACTTGTACTTGTAAAAAATAATATTTAGCCAATAATCATAGCTCATGTTTTTAATTTTAGTGTTTTCGATTGTGACTTTTCGTTTCAACCTAACCCCTGTTACCGTACTACACGGAAGTCACGTGAACTGAATCGACTAATCACAAACTCCAGAAGACCCCTCGTGACTTTTCATAGCTCAGCTGGTAACTTTTCCGAAATAATCTTCCACGGATATTCACGAAACTCTAATTTAAAGGCGCTGAATTTGTATTCCTCGCCATGTCTTCACCCCCGAAAGAGAAAGATAAAGATTTGAAAGCTGGCCACCCTCCGGCAGGTTGTTAGAGAACTATTGTTTTCTCGAATCGATAGTTTTGTTGGCCAGCCATGTTTCTCACGCAATAAACTAACGACTAACAATAAACTAACACACGACGATAATTCTACGTACTTTTATTTTGTTTTGTTTTATTTTGGTTTTAGTGAAAGCAGGAGGGATGAGAATAACCTCAAAGCATCATCATCCTCAGCACCCAGCTCCCACGCCAGAGGAGAAAGCAGAAGAGGAAGAATTTGCAGAGCCCAAAGAAAAGTAAGTTCGTGTACGTGCGCCCTTTCTTTCAACGTGTACTTACACGTTTTCGAATTAGTACAGTTTGTACAAAGTGAAACGACACCATTAAGAGCATAGTTTTCACCAGTAAGAACTCAAGAAAGAGAAATAAGTTTTTTCATATGCTTTCCTTTCGCGTCGTTTCATAACTTCTTCGCGAGTTCAAATATATCACGAAATTTTCTTTGGTGACGGCCACGTGTGGAAGTTGCGTTGCGTGACATGTGTAAGTGAATGTGACAACCTAAAATGGTCGAATTATCACCAAGTTCATTTTAAATATTTTGAGGGCTTCATCTCTTTTTGGAGGGATGAGGCGTTCGTATTAGTAGGAGGCAGGTGAATAACAATAAGGTTCAAAGGGTGGCAGATTAGGGAAGGACAATTTGCAAAAGTGAATTTGGGCAGGGGGTGGAAGGGAGGGGGTGAGTTCTTGCTTTTCTTTCAATTTTTTCTGGGCTTGCCATATGATTGTTGTTGTTATTTTTTTTTTTCAGCTTGGAGGTAGTTACCTTAATGGCTGTTGCAGCTGAATGCATTTTTTATGTGAATTTTTCATCCCCCCCTTCACTTTTCTAATGGTTTCCAGCGTTCACAGCTGCATTAGACTACACAGCAAATAATTTTCTTCTCCATTTCTAACTTTCAGGGCTTCTGATCAGAAGGTTGTTGTGTCTGGAGTGGTCACAAAAGGCAATGCTGATTTCAAGGCAGATGCAGTGAAAGTGGCCCATGAAAAGCCTTTGCCGCAGCATGATAAAAGACCTCAAGGTCCTGGAGGGAAGGCCCCTGGAATGGTTATTCAACAACCGAGAAAGCAGTAGAAATTTTTAAATTAAATATAGTGATACCCTGTGCAGTGGAGTCACTGCATGGGCTCTCAACTAAAATAACAGCAACTTGTATAGTTACTGATAATTTCTGCATAATAATTATTTCTTTGTTCTTGTTTTGAGGTTTTTACATGTGCTTTGCATCTTTGGGTTGATGGCAAAGGTTATTTGATTTTACAGGCAATAAAATAATTAACCTTCCATCACATTGTTTTCTCCCTTTGAAGTACCTGTCTTCCAGCACCATAAATTAAATCAGGGAATATTCACTTAGCAGTCTGAGAAACTATGGCGGACATTCCAACCCTCCAAGTTGCGACCATTTTTGTCACCATGGCGCCTAAAATTTTGAAGCTGGCGACTTGATTTGTAAAAAAGTCTCCCTAAACCAAAAGAATTGGTCGCCAAATGGTGACCAAGCAAAAACTTTAACTTTGAGGGTTGCAATCCATTGTTCTGAAAATAATGTACTGACTGTACTGACTGCCGGCTTCACTGTCACAAAAATGTAAGTACAGTAGCTGCTGGGGTATTAATTTGTTAAATTTGGCAGTTTATATGTGATTAGAATGTTTTCGTAGTTTCTTGGTGTTGCAATTAATTGATGCAATCACCAAATGACATAATGCAAAAGATTCAAAAGACACTGAACAATACCCCCCCATCACAAAACAAAAGCCCACCAACAATGGTTTCCACAAAAGCAAGAAGGAACACCCAATGTTTTTGGCTTCCTCAAAACCCCCTGTACACCTACCTTGTAGCTTAAAACTTGGTTCAGTCATTGTGTTTGTTTTGAAATACCGTCTAACCTCTCCTTACAGATACCTCTATAATACGGACACCTCTCTATTACGGACAGTTCGTTTGGTCCCAGAAATGTCAAAAATCATACATTCCCTGCCTCTATAATATGGACACCTCTGTAAAGCAGACACTTGGTTCTGTCCCTTTGGTGTCCGTATTAACCCTTTTAAGTCCCAGTAGTGACCAAGATCAATAATATTTTCTCTTATTGATATCTATATACTGTCGAGAGATAAGTTAAGAGAATAAATAAAATGATCACCCAAGAGAAAATACCTTGCTCTATTATCAAATTATTCTCTCAACTAATTCTTAATGAAATGTATGGAGATCAGTTTGGGAGAATTTGTATGTGGATACTCGGGCTTAAAGAGGTTTGACTGTATTGAAAGGTTGACTGTAGAAGATCCAATTGATTACACTCTCATTTTTCTTTGGAAACAAAGATAGTATAGAAAATACAAATCAACGTAGGATCAAAGATTAGTAAGAGCCTCTTTCCATGTACTCTTTCAGTTTCCCTTTCGCCTGTCTGCCTCATAGCCTCTTTTCCTAAGAATGGTAAACTTAGTAGGTATTTTACTCTTTTTCATTTAAGTGGATTAGAATTTGAGTTGTAAAGGTGTTGAGAACACAAACAATAAAGTGAAAAAAATCGTAAACTGATAAAACCTTTCTCTTCTTCCCAACATTTTGTCATTGTTTTAATTTGTATGCCCATGCTTGCCCTTTTAATAAAGCATTATTTCCACACTCTGATTTGACAGCTTATTGCAGTCAAACTGTAGTCTGAGAAATCCTGGTAAAAATTACCAAGCAACTTGATTGTATAAAAAAAATGCCAAAAAGGGTAAACTATACACCATAAAAGTAACCGAGTCAAACTTTTGTCTTGCCTAATTTTACCCATATGGGTATGAGGCAAATTTAATAGTAGTTAGGAAATCAGATCTTAAGAAATTTCAAGACAAATCCTAGAGCAACCTGAAAAAGTAACAAGATGGAAACATCATTTGTACAAAAAACAATCTTTTCTTTTATTTACTAACAATACATTTATTCATACTTGGCTGTAAAAGATAAAAAAAATTTTGGTAGATATGAAAATTAATGTTAACAATAAATTTGGACACAAACCACGCTAAAAAGAGCTACACTTTAACGAAGAACAGTGCTAACTCAGAAAATGTTGAAGAAAATGCAAAAAATATATTTCTCACTTGTATGGACCAACTACAGTAGTATGCCCATAGTGAATTCTCTTGCATTAAGAAAGATAAATTCCCATAATGCTTATTCCAAGAGCCTGCTTGGTTAAGACAATGACATGTGCCCTTGGTGTCCACATTGAAGTTGTATTTACCTTACATGCATGCTAAGCTTTGTTAGAAGGCCTTTGTTCACAATGAAAATATTTTGATGAATCGCTACAAAATTCCAGCACAAATACAAAAAAGTTCTAACAATACAATTTCACATTAAGAAAGTCCAACTTGAAAATTAATAAGACACAGCTCAGCAGACTCACATAATCATTTTTGACCATGTTAATGTGTACAAAATTTCCTAGTATTAAAATATTTTTTCTAGTAAAGTACAGTAATAAATTTACTGTGGAACTTAGTATTGTGTAGAATAAGTTGCACTTCCATGGTGGAAGGAGGCATATCTGACAGTTTTGACGTGAAAATCTCCAAGTTTCTGCAAATAGTCTGAAAGTACCTCTGTTGTCCATGTTTAGCTTACCACTGCATTAGGTAATCTGTGGACTGAAATCCCAACAGAAATTGCATTATTTTGAGCAAACACCAACACTGTTAAATCTTTATTGATACATAGATAGACTGTCAAAAATATTCATGTAGGCTCGATTTCTGCTGTCTACCATGCTAGGTCCAGTCTTTGACCCCCCTGGGAACACAGGGTCATTTTCCCAAACAGCACTTGGTAATCCAGCCTATCAGGAAAGCTAGTCTATCATAACCTTAACCCAATGACACTCCTGGGAATTGATTGCTGAAAAATGCGCTTTGAAGCCCCCTAAGTTGAGTCATAATCTGGTAATTGTCTGGCTTTAAAGAGCACAAACTGCCCCAAAAGAACATTAGGGCAAAAGACTTTGAGATTTTAGTCCAGCTAGTACTTACAGAAAATCTCTTTCTTGTTCTTGCTTTGGTATCCTTTGTCAGTGCATCCAAGTAAGGATCTGTTATCACAACTTCTTTGCTTCTAAGCCCGGATCTATGGCTGCTACCAACAGCGTAGCTGGCACTACGTGTTGAATGGGAGGATGCTCCATGGGCACTTCTTGAACCTGAGCTGGAATTATGCCTGTCTGCACTGTTAGAAGCTTTCTGAAAAAACAAGACTTAATTACCAGGCATAATCATAACTATAACAAAATTCTCAAATCTGATTGGCTATCAACTGTCCTGATTTCAGCACTATAAGACAGTACGTGTGACACCTAAAATAATTGGACAGACATGCCATTGTGTGCACTTAAAATGGCTTTCTTTTTTTACTGCTAGCAAAAACTTCTCAGAATTTCTTGCCCGTGCGGATCTACGTCCTTTCTACCCTTTGTGACATCATCAGTTTTAACGGTCAAGGACAACTTTGTCCACTAACTTGTGCAGAGTGAAGAGATATTTCAAACCATACCAGAATGAGCACAATTCAGTCAAGGACACCAGAGAAAGAAGCAAAAAACCATGTGACATTGACCTGAAAATCTCCATGAAAATCTTGTTCCATTGCTCACCTACCTTTCCTTTCACCTAATCCTAAGATCCTAAAAGCTTTCCTAAAAACACTTCCCATCAAAACAAAGCCTACTAAATGCCCAGCAAGAGAAAAAAAAATGAGGCAAGAAAAGCGAAAAAAGAGGGGAGGAGAGAAAGCGAAAAGTAAAAGTCAAGACTGCTGTGTCCCTTTATACCCAAAAACTATCTCGAAATTTTGCTTTCTGCGCATGCCCAAACTTCACAAGCCGATATTTTGCATCTGGATCAGAAGGCCGCGAAGTGTACAACCTGTAAACTGGTTTGTGGTAAGTTTTAGCTCTTTATAGCACGACAGTGACCAGAAAACCACTCGACTAGCTTCAAAACACGTTTTTCGGCAAAATCTCCAGGAGCGAATGGGTTAATATTGCTTTTGATTAAGATCAGTAATCTTACCAAAACTAATTGCCAATCCCACACTTAATTACCAAATGATTGATTAAAAACTGGTTTCAACAAGTTTTCCAACCTAATAAAGGCTACTTACTGTATGACAACACAAACTGCCCTGCCAGGCCAGAAGAAAGATGTCAAAAAAGTAACTGTTGCCATGAATCAACATAAGTTACCATTAGTGCTTTTTACAGCCATGTCAGGGAAAAATACATTGTTAGATTGAGGGCTCGCTTCACCAACAAAGGCAGTTAAAGAAAATGGACTCTACTTTGACCCTTAACCAACAAAGTTGAAAATATGTAAGTCAAATGTTTTCAATTAATTTTTGTTCAGTTTCCCTTGATTTATTATGCCAGGTATTATTATGACAAAGTTTCATCCATATAGTGACCACAACAATCAATGGCTGTGCCCCCGGCAAGGATTCCTTTATTTGGCCTACACAGGTCTGTGCCGCTGAAAAGGGTATGCTTTTCAGG